GATTGAACACTTGTACAGAAGCATCATACACCATACACCATACATGTAATTAATATCATGTTAAATTCATCATCTTTCTATTATGTATAATACGCTGCATTTTGGGCGTTAATATACTCGATATACCCTTTTCACTTCCTCGTCCGTGGTATACTAGACTTGACTTTACATTATTGCTAATATATGATTTGGTTGGTGTTCAACAGACCCTGGAATGAGTCCTTGTTTAAGACATTTAAAGTTTTATCGATTGACGAGTCAGGATTAAAAAGAAAAGCCCAATGCATTGAAAATTTTCCAAATTTGAATTCCTCATGTATTCATACATGCTTTCGTTCTGTGTAAAAATGTGTACTTGGCTTTTCAATAGATATTGTCCTCGGTGCTCCAGAAGCATAAGACGCTTTTGAATGATTTAGCCTTAATGATTTAATTAATATTCTTTTTTAATTAAAACATATGTCCGTAAATTTTTTTATCCAATTTCTGATTGTGTTTAGAATTCATTTTTGGGTATGACCCTTAGTGTATATATACTGGAAAATGGCAAATCATATGATTTCCTGGACTCGTTTCTTCCTTCTGAAAGTTGTTTTTTCAAGTTTGGAAAATAAAAGAAGTCTAAAGACGAAAGAGCTGGTGAATATTGAGAAGGTGAAAGAATTAACTTTATGTTTATCCCCCAAACCCCTTTACTCTTCAGGGTGTGCGGGTTTGGACGCTGTCATGAAGAAATATTATTTAGTTGATTCCTGATTTTGGTTCCTTCCTCTCAGTAACCTTTCAATTTTTTTGCAACAAATTTGCTTTGTAGGTTCTTCAACAAATTACCCCGTGGGGATCCGGGTTAGAATAGGTCCTCAGTACCCCCTTGCTTGTCGTAAAAGGCGACTAAATGGGGCGGTCCTTCGGATGAGACCGTATAAACCGAGGCCCCGTGTGGCACGATAAAGATCCCTCCCTGCTCAAAGGCCGTAAGTGCCGAGCATAGGCCTAAATTTGCAGCCCTTCACCGGCAATGGTGACGTCTCCATATCAGTGAAATATTCTGGAGAGGGACGTTGAATAGTATACAATCAATTAATCTTCAACAAATTAAATTGCCTCCCTGAATACGAATTTGAACAACAAGACCGCTAATAATTTAGAACATTGCATATAAGTCTGTCTGTGCTCTTGCAATTCTTTGCTCTTCTCAGACCTTTGCTGTTTTTGTCAAGTATCATTGTAAATTTTGTTTTGAGGGTTTTAAGCAATAGATTCAAGTTTCATTATTTGTTGGTATTCAAAATAAACGTGGATAACTACAATTACTGATATTTCAAAATAATTTGTTAGATATTCTCACACGCTATGGTTTTCACTAATTTTTCAAAACATAGGGTGACCTTTGAGTACTAAGCTTTTTTACTGTCAAACGTTTCTTTAAAACAGTATGAACTACTCCCGAAATGATGTCTATCAAATTTGCTATATCTCTTAAAGTCAATCAAACATCATCAGTGATTATTTGTTGAAATTTGGCAAATAGTACATAAGCTGTTTAATTTTTTTGTTAGCAAGGACGGTACCCATTTTCGATGCCCATTATATAATTTTTTATCATTGAAATCCACCTGCTCATTTGTCTATAAAACATACATTAGTTGCAGTAAGTTTTATCCAAAAAAAAAATAATAATAATTTTCCTTGATGAAATAAAGCTAAATATACATGTATATTTATATTTTGCAATCGCATACACGCGTTCTTCTATGAAAATACCACCACTTATACGAGCCTGGTCTCGGATAGGTGAGTTTATTTCAGTAACCCTATGTCCCTCCATTCCGGATATCTTAAGTCATTTCAGATATATATTTATACTCACCCTTAGTCACAACCTATCATTCCGGATAATGTAGGTCCATTGCATATATAGTCTAATATTTAGTTGATTCCTATTCTTCTTTTCTCGATGAATGGATAAAATGGTAAGGTCATGGGAAATTTTATGAAGTTGAATGGTTGCAATGTTTTAATTTTTCCTACCCACCCTCCTTTTGTTTTAGAAAAATACTGCTGTTCTTGTAATGTCATTGTAGCTGTAGTCCGCCTGCTTGGTCCTGCATCCACAAGAGCTATGTCGCAGCGATAATCGTGTGCTCCAATAATCCTTAATGGTGCCCTGCTTTGTCCAGCTACGTCATCTACTTGCGTTGCGTTAGTGAATTCTGTGTAATTGCGAGTTCTGCAAAGACTGCCCGTTGGGTACAGCGTCCACATCAACCAATGTCGCGGTGATGAAGTCTCCATTTTACATATACCGTGAAGAATGCCTGTTGGGGATAGCGTCCACTTCAGCCTTATCGTGATTGAAATTTATAGTGTTTGCGTATTCCATCGCACCTCAACGCAATTGGACGAGTGCAACACATATTCTTACGCTCATTTCATTGTTAATGACTTGATTGATATTTGAATTGATTGATTGATTAATAATTGATTGATTGACAAGTAATTGACTTGATTGATATTTGAATTAATCGATTGACTCATTGATTAATAATTGATTGATTGAATTTGGAAAGTTTTCTAAAAGTTAGTAGATGTTGTCACAGCGAAGAAATTCCTTATATTTTGCATCACTACAACTAATGTTATCGTAGCTCTTTCTTGTGATCAAAATGACATTTAACTTAACATTTAAATTTCAATGCCGTTTAATATCACTGAATTTCATAATCACATAAAAATGTGTCCTTCATAAACATTTTAGATCCAAAAAGTTGATAAAAGTTAAGAAAATGGCAATCATTATTCTTTTAAGTTGAAAAATGAGAAAAGAGATCTGGAAAATCAATTTTGGAAATTATTATCTGAAAAATTTCTTATTTTTTTATGAATAAGTCTTTGTATGTGACATAACTCGTAAACGTCTCATGTGACGAAAAAAATATCGCTAATTTTATATTGATAGTAAAAAAAACTTTGTTCATAATTGGCTTTTGCAGAAGTACTGACTTTTACAGTTGACAGATTATTTTGACATTTAAACCTGTATCATGTACAGAAGTTTAAAATTGATAATGGAAAAGAGAGACATTTCTAGTGGTCATGGGTGTTAAGGGCATATACATGCTGAGGTTGGAAGTCGAGCTTTGGTAATTGTCTCCAAGGGCAACGTATTTGTGCTTTGAAATAATCCGTAATTTTTGTTGAATTAAGATGTTGAGCTTCCGTTCATTGTCCTAGTGTAAACAGTAAGCCGTCAATTGTAAAAGTAAGCCCTCCTCCTCCTCCTCGCAAAAGTCCATTATGAGAATGTATTAAAGAAAATCTCTATATCTTCACGGTTAAAAAATGTTTAAATTATTGCATTGATAAAAATGTTTACATGCAATTCTGATCAACAAAAATCAGTATAAATATTGTATGTATTCATTAAGATTGATGGAGAAAATCAAGAGTCCATTATGCAATCGGCACTCTCTATACATTTATCTTCGCACACCGGCACCAAGACCTGTAAAAATACAAAATGAAACTAAATATGTAAAGTATTCCATATTTCACTATTAAAATATAATTAATATTTCGAGAGCAATTCATAAATATATATTATTTTATATTATTTAAAGAGAGAATTTATCACTGGTGCTTCTCTTGAATGAACAATCTGAAATTAGAAAATAAATTGTAAATTTTCTGTTCACTCAAATCATTACAAAAGTATTATACATGTATCGTGATCAATTTAATTATCGATATATAAGGAAAAACATGAATAATAACCCATTGTACAAAATAATAGCATCCATGGAAGTTCAACATTAACCACAAATTAAAAAACATAAAGCACATTAATACAAACTATATGTATACAACTCACATTCAAACGCTTTCACTCATTATATAAAAAACGCTTTTATTAGAAAATATGACCAAGTAAAACATAAACAAGTTAACAAAACAAAAACAAAAATGATTAAAAGTTTGACTGCATGATTATATAATTCTTTAAATAGTTTTATTTTCCTATCATAAAATATTGAAGATAAAGTATAATAATTGTATTTATGACAGCATTCTTTATATTGCATGAAGAAAGCAAGAAAAAGATTTATACTTACTTATAAAAGGGCTGAAATGAAAATTAAACAGATTATCGTATAATACATAATAAGTACATTTGCAAATAAATTCATCATGACTTCTTCTGTCTCAGTTCTGTATTAAGGCTAAAAACCCTGTTTTGTTTAGTTCGGAATACATAAAGCTGGTATATCATAATGAGTAAAACTTCATACTAGTAAACTTTCAGCAATTGATACATTCATATGCTTACATGCAAGTCACTGTCTGATTTATGAATTCTTGGCATCTATATCCCGCATCACATGCTCCTTGTGAGTTCACAACAGCGCATCCATCAGATGAGTTGGTTATTATAACTACAAAAAACAATACAACCTTTATATTGTGATATCTGTAGGAGAAATAATTCTTACTTAATTATGTATATGTGGTATATATGTATCAGAAAGATTTGATTGATAGAAAACTAACACTTATTTTTTTTTTTTAAATTAAAACCTTTTCAACTGTAAAAATATACTATATAGCTAAAAAATTCATTACCCTCGCCGTATGTTGAATGTTGTATTGAAGCAGTGGTAACGTTGACTATTTCTCCCGAGAAGTTGACAAATACCAGACCATTCACAAGCTTGTACACGGTGTCAACGACGAGTACTTTTGATATTGGACTGTCTGGTATGACGAGGTCAAAGTCAACAATCAAGCTTCCCATCCTGTTAAATAAACATACAGTTTCTTATTTTAAATATTTGGAATGTAAACATGTATCATTATAGATGTTTTAAAATCAATACAATTATTAAGTTACTCGCTTTGAACATATTTCACCCAATCAAATCTTTGTAGCGATGGAATAATCCCTCTTAACTGAATTGTGTCAATTTAGCAATTTGCAGGTGACGGACATATTTCATAACAATATATGTCGGTTCGAACATCCTCAATCTATTTTTGTTTTCATGCACAAAAATGTAACCTATATTTGAAAGATATCGTTTTGGTAAATATAATTTGAGTATTTGATCATTTTTTTAATTGTCGTTTTATGTATAGCATTTTATTTTTTTCATTTACTTCACATGCATACATGTAATCTTTGATGAAATAAACAATTTATTTACGACCAAGACGACCCAAAAATGTTAAATAAGGGTCATGTTACTTTACAAAACTGTTATTCAAAGTAATCCACTAAGATACGTGAACACGAAGAGGAAATAATTTTTTTAATTCATTTATACATAAAAAACCACCTCTATTCCTAAGATTTTTCGATACATTCTTTCAAAAAATTTGTTTTTGACGTACTGTTCTTTAAATAATGAAATGTTATATTCAATCACAAATTTGGGTAAACAATTTCTAATATACATTTTGAAATCATTAAAAACCCACAAGCCAAAAATTAAATATTTACAGGTTCCTTTTATATAAAATCCCATTTAAAAATACTAACAAGCTGCTTTGTAAACATACCTTAAGCTTTTTATTATGACTTTTGATCCAACAATTCTTTTACTGTAAACATCAGTTAACTATAAAATATAATCAGATGAATGTTCATTATAAATAAATGTTAAATTGTTTTTAAACTCAAAAAAGATATAAATACTAACCGCTTCTTGAACTTTATTCTTTACTTTGATATATTCTTTCTCTATGCTCAGATTTTCTGTTGTTGTAACGTCGAGATTCAAGACAAGCTTATATTTCATCAAATTTGATTCTTCAATGAAAATATGTAAAATTGCATCAAAAATTCATAAAAGAGAACCATATTTTTAAGGTGTGTGGCAAAGCACTTTGAAAAAATTACGCACTTTGAAAATTATTTTACAAGTGCATTAAAATTGGGACAAAACGCACTTTGATAAAAATTTCAAAGTGCGTTAAATTTGGGACCAATTCAACGCACTTTGAAAATTTTGCGTTAAGAGTCTACACCAACATGTTTTACCATGGAGACACTTAACGCACTTTGAAAAAAAATCATATTTTAGTAATGGAAAGATTTTTTTTGATAATTATCTTTCAAAAAAAAATAACCCTAACCCTAACCTCAAAAAAGAATTGATTTACTCCCGTCGAAAAGAGGAGAAGACGGGTATAAGATTCCTCAGTCAAAATCTTTATCTTTCCAATACATAGGTGTCGGTAACAAACTGGGGAGGGGAGCAATAAATCCAAAAAGGGTAAGCTGCATTTTCAACGCTTATACGATGTATATATCTTTCCAAAATAAGTGGGGGGCTTAGCCCCCTCCCCCCTCCCCCCTCCCCTGGCCCTTCGCCCGGTCTCAATGTCTATGCTTTACTCAAAATATTCATATAATTATGTATTTACCTAACTGGTATGAAGTTGAAAACTTTCAATATTAAATGATTTAATTAAAAAAGATGAAAACTAGAATTTTTTAAAGTACAGTGAAACGTATGAGAGAGAAAGAATTTTCATAGTTTTGAACAATCAAATTGCCCTTTTTTGTTATGATTAATGCTACATGTAAGTTGCTAAAAGCTGTCCACTGTTAGTGCCCCCTTTACACCTTTACATCTACTTATCAAAGACTAGAACTTTAAAAAAAAACGAATTAATTATCTTTAACATTCGTCACTCTTTTTTTCAAGACCCCTTTCCCTTTTATTTTATCAAAACCTCAAATATTTAAAACGTCAATATCTCAGGTCCTGAAGTGACTTTATCATAAAAAAAATTATCCAGCCAGGATCTGTTATTTATCATACAGATTATTTGTAGGAATATTGATCAGTCTTTACATTATTTTTCAAAGTGCGTTAATATGGTCGATTATAACGCACTTTGAAAAAAAAAATTATTTTTTTCTAAGTGCGTTAGCTGGTCCCAATTTTGACGCATTTTAAAATTTTTTTTCAAAGTGCGTAATTTTTCAAAGTACGTTGTAACAAAGGTGTCATTTAAGAACAGATTAGTTGGAATATTAAAGATGCAAGTGATGATGATAGTACTCAAATACATTTCATAAGAATGATAAGAATACATTTATTCGAATAATTTGAATTCATAACATTATTAAAAGTACAAATCATTTAATTCAACTTACTTGTTGAGCAATCTGTACCGTTAAATTCAACATCACACTGACATTCATACTCATTGACCAAATCAACACAGGTTCCATTGTTCTGACAAGGCAATGAAGCGCACTCATCCACATCTATTTAAGAAAATATTGAGAATTTTCATAAATGTTTTATTCAAAGTACGGCAAGATAATTTTCTTTGAACCAAAGTTATTGTATAAGTACTCTTTTCCGCGTGGTTTTAATTTACACTATGCACGCGGTCACAAAGAACTATATGCGGTATACTGCATATCTTTGCCCCCACAAAAGTCAAATTTTGAAAAATTCTTGAAATATGTGGAATTTTATAAATTATGTAAAGAAAATATAAATTAACTGAACATATTATAGTTTCAAAGTAGTTTATTGACAAGTTTTGTTTCTATGACGTCACAAATTAGTCTAATCTTATATCATTTTTTTTAGAAAGAGGACAAAATTTCAACAATTTTAGCTTAAAAATTTATAGAGCGCAGGTTTGCTCAGGAACAATATTTACATATTTCAATGATATTATCATTATTCACAGTATATCAAAATATTGAGCCTGATCAGACCTGCGCTCGGTGACTTTTACTCCAAATATCGACGTAATATATACATTTTTCTGTAGAAATCATGGAAATTCTAAATTTACGTCATTTTCGTGACGTCATTTCAAATATATGACGTCATTGCTTATGAAAATATTCAGTGATATGAAGTCAGCATATATTCCCCTAATTAAGAACATAATTAAATATTTCTCCGTCAAAGTTTGATTTTGGGGGAAATATTGCTTATTACCGAATAAAATTCTTTTCCGCGGAAATTTGTCCGAGCGTACTTAATATAAATGTCAGGAATAAAGAGACAGTCTATGGAATCCGCATACTTTTCTACCAGCGAATTAAACAGAAATTGAGATTCTGCGGAATTATTATCCCGTGGGAAAAAGTACGTCTACAGTATAACAAACATTAACCTAGAAAATATTTGCACTGATCAGTAAGATTCCACCCTTTATTTTCAAAATCTAACTAATTCTACAATTAATGTTATTGAATCAATGAACACAAACAATCATAATCATTGATTAGACATACATATGCACCATTCGTCCGACAAGGACCCACTCATTAATATTTAAAGAAATTAAATATTAGAATACATTTTCTGTAATGAGGTCCAATAAGGAGCTTCTTTACAAGAAATACCTACCGCTTGCGCAGTTTGTATCATTAAATCCGGGAACACAGAAACATTCATAACCATTGATGAGGTCCACACACGTTCCATTGTTCTGACAAGGACCATCAGAACATTCATCAACATCTGTAATAAATTTTGCCTTCAAACAAATTGATATTTAAATAAAGCGGATATCAAATATTCTGGAGATTCACAGATTTTCCTCCAAGAAAAAGGCACCACATTCCAAATATATCTTACTGAACAAGCGATCTTCAAAATGAAATAACTTCTTTTGTCGTAATTGTATTAATTAACTTACTCCTCTCACAGTTTGTACCATTAAATCCTGCCTCACAACTGCAGTTGTAATCATTGATGAAGTCCTCACATGTTGCATTGTTTTGACAAGGATTTTCTGCACATTCATCTATATCTGTTACAAATAAAACGCATAAGATATGATTTAGAGATGAAGAATATGCAATGGTTTGCAATATTGAATCCAATCAGTCATTTCATTCACTACTGGCAAAGGATTTCTAAAACTTTCACGTGATGCTTTGCAATTGGATCCGTAATTTATTTCACCACTGGCAAAGGATTTTAAAATGTTCACGAGACTTTGAAAATGAAGGTGTTAATTTTTCAAGCCTGGAAGAAATTGATTGCACGACTGAAAAAGACTTCTTTTATGGAACATATGGAGATTACGAACAGTATTCAAGATCAAACGTCTATAAAACAATACAAAATGGGAGCACAGCAAATACGGACCTCCAAAACATCAGATGTGGGATCAGGTCATGATATTGATCAAGAAAAGTCTCAAGGAATGACTAATTGTGAACAGTTTCGTAAAGAATATTGTTGGGAGATATTAAGGAGTAGACGGATAATTCAGGGGACGCCAGAAAGGGGTCAGGTTAAACAGGGGTTAGATCAAGGTACGTCAAGGGGTAGAATACTTTCAAAATATCTTTGTCTGTGGTGGAACACATAGATTGGTATGAGACGTCAGACTTGAACAATTGTGAGATGAGGATTTTAATACTGGTATAACTTGAACGACCTCTAAAAGATAAAATGTATCTTCAAGAAAAAAGCTTGGAAAAACATGCTTCTTTATATATACTCACTGTTTGTACAATTAGTGTCATTGAATCCTGCAGCACAGTTACAATGGTAATCATTGATGAGATCAAGGCATGTCCCATTGTTCTGACATGGATTTTCAGCACATTCATCAATATCTGTAACAGATGCTCTTTGCTAAGCATACCTGATTTTAAACTAGTTTAATTCACCGTCATTTCATATCATTTTCATTGACTTACCTTCCTCGCAATTGGTTCCATTAAATCCAGGAGCACAGCTACACTCATAAGCATTGATGAGGTCCGCACATGTTCCATTGTTCTGACAAGGGTTATCGGCACATTCATCAATATCTGTAAAAACATCTTTCATGTAATCCCAACATTCACTTATACAAATGATAGCCAATGTTCTTAAGCAATGCCATATCAGAATTTAAAGAGTTGTGCTATCTAAAATGTGATCTAAAGTTTCATTTGTCTTAGGTTCATTAATTTACTCACTCTCCTCACAGTTTGTACCATTAAATCCTGCCTCACAACTGCAGTTGTAATCATTGATGAGGTCCTCACATGTTGCATTGTTTTGACAAGGATTTTCTGCACATTCATCTATATCTGTTACAAATAAAACGCATAAGATATGATTTAGAGATGAAGAATATGCAATGGTTTGCAATATTGAATCCAATCAGTCATTTCATTCACTACTGGCAAAGGATTTCTAAAACTTTCACGTGATGCTTTGCAATTGGATCCTTAATTTATTTCACCACTGGCAAAGGATTTTAAAATGTTCTCGAGACTTTGAAAATGAAGGTGTTAATTTTTCAAGCCCGGAAGAAATTGATTGCACGACTGAAAAAGACTTCTTTTATGGAACATATGGAGATTACGAACAGTATTCAAGATCAAACGTCCATAAAACAATACAAAATGGGAGCACAGCAAACACGGACCTCCAAAACATCAGATGTGGGATCAGGTCATGATATTGATCAAAAAAAGTCTCAAGTAATGACTAAGTAAGAGAAGTGTCGTAAAGGAATTTGTTGGGAGATACTAAGGAGTAGACGGATAATTCAGGGGACGCCAGAAAGGGTCAGGTTAAACAGGGGTTAGGTCAAGGTACGTCAAGGGGTAGACTACTTTCAAAATATCTTTGTCTGTGGTGGAACACATAGATTGGTATGAGACGTCAGACTTGAACAATTGTGAGATGAGGATTTTAATACTGGTATAGCTTGAACGACCTCTAAAAGATAAAATGTATCTTCAAGAATAAGTCCACATTTGCTTGGAAAAACATGCTTCTTTATAGATACTCACTGTTTGTACAATTAGTGTCATTGAATCCTGCAGCACAGTTACAATGGTAATCATTGATGAGATCAAGGCATGTTCCATTGTTCTGACATGGATTTTCAGCACATTCATCAATATCTGAAACAGATGCTCTTTGTTAAGCATAACTGATTTTAAACTAGTTTAATTCACCGTCATTTCATATCATTTTCGTTGGCTTACCTTCCTCGCAATTGGTTCCATTAAATCCAGGAGCACAGCTACACTCATAACCATTGATGAGGTCCGCACATGTTCCATTGTTCTGACAAGGGCTATTGGCACATTCATCAATATCTGTAAAAACGTCTTTCATGTAATCCCAACATTCACTTATACAAAGGATAGCCAATGTTCTTAAGCATTGACGTATCAGAATTTACATAGTTGTGATATCTAAAATGTGATCTAAAGTTTCATTTGTCTTAGGTTCATTAATTTACTCACTCTCCTCACAGTTTGTACCATTAAATCCTGCCTCACAACTGCAGTTGTAATCATTGATGAGGTCCTCACATGTTGCATTGTTTTGACAAGGATTTTCTGCACATTCATCTATATCTGTTACAAATAAAACGCATAAGATATGATTTAGAGATAAAGAATATGCAATGGTTTGCAATATTGAATCCAATCAGTCATTTCATTCACTACTGGCAAAGGATTTCTAAAACTTTCACGTGATGCTTTGCAATTGGATCCGTAATTTATTTCACCACTGGCAAAGGATTTTGAAATGTTCACGAGACTTTGAAAATGAAGGTGTGTAGTTTTCAAGCCCGGAAGAAATTGATTGCACGACTGAAAAAGACTTCTTTTATGGAACATATGGAGATTACGAACAGTATTCAAGATCAAACGTCTATAAAACAATACAAAATGGGAGCACAGCAAATACGGACCTCCAAAACATCAGATGTGGGATCAGGTCATGATATTGATCAAGAAAAGTGTCAAGGAATGACTAATTGTGAACAGTTTCGTAAAGAATATTGTTGGGAGATATTAAGGAGTAGACGGATAATTCAGGGGACGCCAGAAAGGGGTCAGGTTAAACAGGGGTTAGATCAAGGTACGTCAAGGGGTAGAATACTTTCAAAATATCTTTGTCTGTGGTGGAACACATAGATTGGTATGAGACGTCAGACTTGAACAATTGTGAGATGAGGATTTTAATACTGGTATAACTTGAACGACCTCTAAAAGATAAAATGTATCTTCAAGAAAAAAGCTTGGAAAAACATGCTTCTTTATATATACTCACTGTTTGTACAATTAGTGTCATTGAATCCTGCAGCACAGTTACACTGGTAATCATTGATGAGATCAAGGCATGTCCCATTGTTCTGACATGGATTTTCAGCACATTCATCAATATCTGTAACAGATGCTCTTTGCTAAGCATACCTGATTTTAAACTAGTTTAATTCACCGTCATTTCATATCATTTTCATTGACTTACCTTCCTCGCAATTGGTTCCATTAAATCCAGGAGCACAGCTACACTCATAAGCATTGATGAGGTCCGCACATGTTCCATTGTTCTGACAAGGGTTATCGGCACATTCATCAATATCTGTAAAAACATCTTTCATGTAATCCCAACATTCACTTATACAAATGATAGCCAATGTTCTTAAGCAATGCCATATCAGAATTTAAAGAGTTGTGCTATCTAAAATGTGATCTAAAGTTTCATTTGTCTTAGGTTCATTAATTTACTCACTCTCCTCACAGTTTGTACCATTAAATCCTGCCTCACAACTGCAGTTGTAATCATTGATGAGGTCCTCACATGTTGCATTGTTTTGACAAGGATTTTCTGCACATTCATCTATATCTGTTACAAATAAAACGCATAAGATATGATTTAGAGATGAAGAATATGCAATGGTTTGCAATATTGAATCCAATCAGTCATTTCATTCACTACTGGCAAAGGATTTCTAAAACTTTCACGTGATGCTTTGCAATTGGATCCTTAATTTATTTCACCACTGGCAAAGGATTTTAAAATGTTCTCGAGACTTTGAAAATGAAGGTGTTAATTTTTCAAGCCCGGAAGAAATTGATTGCACGACTGAAAAAGACTTCTTTTATGGAACATATGGAGATTACGAACAGTATTCAAGATCAAACGTCCATAAAACAATACAAAATGGGAGCACAGCAAACACGGACCTCCAAAACATCAGATGTGGGATCAGGTCATGATATTGATCAAAAAAAGTCTCAAGGACTGACTAAGTAAGAGAAGTGTCGTAAAGGAATTTGTTGGGAGATACTAAGGAGTAGACGGATAATTCAGGGGACGCCAGAAAGGGTCAGGTTAAACAGGGGTTAGGTCAAGGTACGTCAAGGGGTAGACTACTTTCAAAATATCTTTGTCTGTGGTGGAACACATAGATTGGTATGAGACGTCAGACTTGAACAATTGTGAGATGAGGATTTTAATACTGGTATAGCTTGAACGACCTCTAAAAGATAAAATGTATCTTCAAGAATAAGTCCACATTTGCTTGGAAAAACATGCTTCTTTATAGATACTCACTGTTTGTACAATTAGTGTCATTGAATCCTGCAGCACAGTTACATTGGTAATCATTGATGAGATCAAGGCATGTTCCATTGTTCTGACATGGATTTTCAGCACATTCATCAATATCTGAAACAGATGCTCTTTGTTAAGCATAACTGATTTTAAACTAGTTTAATTCACCGTCATTTCATATCATTTTCGTTGGCTTACCTTCCTCGCAATTGGTTCCATTAAATCCAGGAGCACAGCTACACTCATAACCATTGATGAGGTCCGCACATGTTCCATTGTTCTGACAAGGGCTATTGGCACATTCATCAATATCTGTAAAAACGTCTTTCATGTAATCCCAACATTCACTTATACAAAGGATAGCCAATGTTCTTAAGCATTGACGTATCAGAATTTACATAGTTGTGATATCTAAAATGTGATCTAAAGTTTCATTTGTCTTAGGTTCATTAATTTACTCACTCTCCTCACAGTTTGTACCATTAAATCCTGCCTCACAACTGCAGTTGTAATCATTGATGAGGTCCTCACATGTTGCATTGTTTTGACAAGGATTTTCTGCACATTCATCTATATCTGTTACAAATAAAACGCATAAGATATGATTTAGAGATAAAGAATATGCAATGGTTTGCAATATTGAATCCAATCAGTCATTTCATTCACTACTGGCAAAGGATTTCTAAAACTTTCACGTGATGCTTTGCAATTGGATCCGTAATTTATTTCACCACTGGCAAAGGATTTTGAAATGTTCACGAGACTTTGAAAATGAAGGTGTGTAGTTTTCAAGCCCGGAAGAAATTGATTGCACGACTGAAAAAGACTTCTTTTATGGAACATATGGAGATTACGAACAGTATTCAAGATCAAACGTCTATAAAACAATACAAAATGGGAGCACAGCAAATACGGACCTCCAAAACATCAGATGTGGGATCAGGTCATGATATTGATCAAGAAAAGTCTCAAGGAATGACTAATTGTGAACAGTTTCGTAAAGAATATTGTTGGGAGATATTAAGGAGTAGACGGATAATTCAGGGGACGCCAGAAAGGGGTCAGGTTAAACAGGGGTTAGATCAAGGTACGTCAAGGGGTAGAATACTTTCAAAATATCTTTGTCTGTGGTGGAACACATAGATTGGTATGAGACGTCAGACTTGAACAATTGTGAGATGAGGATTTTAATACTGGTATAACTTGAACGACCTCTAAAAGATAAAATGTATCTTCAAGAAAAAAGCTTGGAAAAACATGCTTCTTTATATATACTCACTGTTTGTACAATTAGTGTCATTGAATCCTGCAGCACAGTTACACTGGTAATCATTGATGAGATCAAGGCATGTCCCATTGTTCTGACATGGATTTTCAGCACATTCATCAATATCTGTAACAGATGCTCTTTGCTAAGCATACCTGATTTTAAACTAGTTTAATTCACCGTCATTTCATATCATTTTCATTGACTTACCTTCCTCGCAATTGGTTCCATTAAATCCAGGAGCACAGCTACACTCATAAGCATTGATGAGGTCCGCACATGTTCCATTGTTCTGACAAGGGTTATCGGCACATTCATCAATATCTGTAAAAACATCTTTCATGTAATCCCAACATTCACTTATACAAATGATAGCCAATGTTCTTAAGCAATGCCATATCAGAATTTAAAGAGTTGTGCTATCTAAAATGTGATCTAAAGTTTCATTTGTCTTAGGTTCATTAATTTACTCACTCTCCTCACAGTTTGTACCATTAAATCCTGCCTCACAACTGCAGTTGTAATCATTGATGAGGTCCTCACATGTTGCATTGTTTTGACAAGGATTTTCTGCACATTCATCTATATCTGTTACAAATAAAACGCATAAGATATGATTTAGAGATGAAGAATATGCAATGGTTTGCAATATTGAATCCAATCAGTCATTTCATTCACTACTGGCAAAGGATTTCTAAAACTTTCACGTGATGCTTTGCAATTGGATCCTTAATTTATTTCACCACTGGCAAAGGATTTTAAAATGTTCTCGAGACTTTGAAAATGAAGGTGTTAATTTTTCAAGCCCGGAAGAAATTGATTGCACGACTGAAAAAGACTTCTTTTATGGAACATATGGAGATTACGAACAGTATTCAAGATCAAACGTCCATAAAACAATACAAAATGGGAGCACAGCAAACACGGACCTCCAAAACATCAGATGTGGGATCAGGTCATGATATTGATCAAAAAAAGTCTCAAGGACTGACTAAGTAAGAGAAGTGTCGTAAAGGAATTTGTTGGGAGATACTAAGGAGTAGACGGATAATTCAGGGGACGCCAGAAAGGGTCAGGTTAAACAGGGGTTAGGTCAAGGTACGTCAAGGGGTAGACTACTTTCAAAATATCTTTGTCTGTGGTGGAACACATAGATTGGTATGAGACGTCAGACTTGAACAATTGTGAGATGAGGATTTTAATACTGGTATAGCTTGAACGACCTCTAAAAGATAAAATGTATCTTCAAGAATAAGTCCACATTTGCTTGGAAAAACATGCTTCTTTATAGATACTCACTGTTTGTACAATTAGTGTCATTGAATCCTGCAGCACAGTTACATTGGTAATCATTGATGACATCAAGGCATGTTCCATTGTTCTGACATGGATTTTCAGCACATTCATCAATATCTGAAACAGATGCTCTTTGTTAAGCATAACTGATTTTAAACTAGTTTAATTCACCGTCATTTCATATCATTTTCGTTGGCTTACCTTCCTCGCAATTGGTTCCATTAAATCCAGGAGCACAGCTACACTCATAACCATTGATGAGGTCCGCACATGTTCCATTGTTCTGACAAGGGCTATTGGCACATTCATCAATATCTGTAAAAACGTCTTTCATGTAATCCCAACATTCACTTATACAAAGGATAGCCAATGTTCTTAAGCATTGACGTATCAGAATTTACATAGTTGTGATATCTAAAATGTGATCTAAAGTTTCATTTGTCTTAGGTTCATTAATTTACTCACTCTCCTCACAGTTTGTACCATTAAAGACGTACAACACACTGGGGGAGATAACTCTTGCGATTTCAATTGAACGTTTGACGTGACGTCAAATTTAACGTCAAAAATAAAGCGTCAAAATGACGAGTAAAACGATCCCAATGTATTTCAATCATTAAAGAAAAATGGGATATGGGGCTTGGCTGTGATTATGCGTACCATACTCAGTCAATAAGTATTTTTTTTAATTAACCCGATTAAACTCCGTGAAAAAGCAAGTAATAGACATAAATTGTCGCATATCTGCGGTGATTTTCTTTGATCTTTGTGTGGTGATATATCCCATATCACATATGCGATAATACTTTCCACGCCCCTTCATATATCACTGCAGGAGGCAGAAATCAGGTCATGAGAAAAAAAAACTAATTTTATTTCACAAGTTCATAACTACAGAAAAATGAAGATTTTAAGCTATTTCTTAGCCTTTAACTAAATTAAAACACATGTATTTAACTCGGTTGAAAGTTCCCAGTCGTTCAATAGATTAATCCATTTTGAAATTTTGAAAGTTACGGAAAAATCTCCAAATTTTATATCGTTAAACTCCTTGATATTTGCTTCTGTGATTTCACATTTGTCGAGTGCTAACCTCAAAAATAAATTGTCAAAATCTTCAAACTCAGTTAAAAAGTCAAAGACAAATTCACTAAGAACGTCCGACATGTTGGAGAGCTAGCTTGAAATGAATTTTAAGTTAATGACTCTGAATATTTTTTTTTATTTTGACACTCTCAATGAAATTTACGTCATCAGACATGCGACAAGTTGCTTACATCATAGATGCCTCGTACTATTGGTTATATCGTTTTCATGGGGCGTGGAAATCTCGGGCGCTCCGCGCCCTCGATTTCCACGCCCCATGAAAACGATATAATCAATACTACTCGGCTTCTATGATGTAACCTATACATACCATCCTTTAATGTTTATTTCATTTCATTCCATAAATTGTAAACTTGATCTAAAGCGCAGCATTTTTTTTTATTCTGAAAATTTTATTTTACATTGCCGAAATTCTCATTATGTACAATTGGCTATATAACATTCCGATTAATTAATGGTCTTCATTACAATTTGTGCATTTACGATATAGATATTGTTTTTCTTCTTTAATTAAATAAAACAACAATAAACAAACAAAAAACTTTTTACAATGTAAAATCGATGTTGTTCTCAGACACTTACTGATCAAAGAGGAACAACTACTGAAAATGTAGGAGATGTTTATTTTCCTCCCTTTATTCACGGTTTTCCACAGAAATACATTTACAGCAAGACCTGATAAATCCGAGTATTCAATACTATAGACCTCATATACACAATGTAAGTATAGAATTGAAAAGAATTGTTTACTAGTACTGAAATTATCTGCTTTTATGAATATCGGCTATTTCAGCAAATCGTTTGACTTTCTGTCACTGCCAACAATGCAATGTCGGTTCGCATTTCCTCGAATCAAAACAAAACGTAGCCTATAAGATTTTAAAAAATATCAATGTGCGATTTGATATAAATTGAAATAGATGAAGAGTTTAATGTTTGATATTTTGAAGTTAATGTGGACGAATACGGAATTTTCATTTTAACTTTAGAAGCAACGACATTGAAAGAAATGCGTAAAATATCATGAGGGGTGTACATCTATACAAATGTCGATGTATCCCCACGGCCACATACTGTCTCGTTTGAAATTATAATGACATGAAAGAAACTACAATTATTCCATTTATATCACAGGAGAATTGAACATACACCATTTTTTTTAATGAATAAAATTAAAGAAATAAAATTAAAATCAACATATAAGTTCAACATAACTTGAATTCGTATCTAGGTTTCATGTGATATGGAATGCATAACGCGTACATATATGGACTTAAAACTAAAATCTTTCAGTAATTTTTTCCTGATACATATAAAAACAGTAGTCAATATTTATCAATATTTATTCTGCATTCATTCATTTAAAAACTAATGCATACCTCCGGGATTCAAATAACGAAATACTAGTATATTTGCACTGTTTAAACGACGTTTCGTCAAACGCTAACATTGGTCTGCGACGCAAAAAAGGAAGGGGTGGGGGTGGTAGGGGTATTCAAAAAATTACCTATAAATCTACATTTAAATACGCTTTACATATGAGAACTTTTAAATTTGTAAGTTAATATATTTTTTAAGCAAAAGCAATATTCCAATTTGATTTTTTTTTTAAAATGTGTATTTGTAGATAACTGATTCATAGCAAAGTGATCGACCCCCGTCTGAAAGACGCGCGGGAACGTGATTTATTGAGGAAGGGGGAGGGGGTAATTTTCCGCTATTAAATCAAAACTGGTCGTACAAAAATTATACAAAAAATTATGAAGATTGTTTTTACTACCAGCTACCTAAAGAAAGTTTTTTACCAAAATTAAACGACAGGTTTTTTCACAAAAAAATTTTAATTTGAAAAATACACAATTTTTAAGGCTTAGATAATTCATAGTTTTTCAGTTTAAGGCCTTTAAAAATTGTTTTGATGATATGTATATCAAAAAGATGACTATGTTTTTGTGTTAAATGGTTAAAGGAATAAGTCAATGAAATTTGACATTTATATCTAACCTGGCTGTTTTGAAAATCAAGGTTTAAGTAGTTCATTGATTAAAAATTTTCTCTCCTTGTAAACAACTAAAGGGGGGTAACTTTTGGAAGTTCCTGCCCAAAAACCACTCGAATGATTTTGTCCAAAATGTGCTTACACGCAGTAGATATAGTCATGTACTAAATATACAAAAATAACGAAAATTAAACGACAGGAATTTTTGGGGGTAGGTGTGTTGTACATCCTTAAATCCTGCCTCACAACTGCAGTTGTAATCATTGATGAGGTCCTCACATGTTGCATTGTTTTGACAAGGATTTTCTGCACATTCATCTATATCTGTTACAAATAAAACGCATAAGATATGATTTAGAGATAAAGAATATGCAATGGTTTGCAATATTGAATCCAATCAGTCATTTCATTCACTACTGGCAAAGGATTTCTAAAACTTTCACGTGATGCTTTGCAATTGGATCCGTAATTTATTTCACCACTGGCAAAGGATTTTGAAATGTTCACGAGACTTTGAAAATGAAGGTGTGTAGTTTTCAAGCCCGGAAGAAATTGATTGCACGACTGAAAAAGACTTCTATTATGGAACATATGGAGATTCCGAACAGTATTCAAGATCAAACGTCCATAAAATAATACAAAATGGGAGCACAGCAAACACGGACCTCCAAAACATCAGATGTGGGATCAGGTCATGATATTGATCAAAAAAAGTATCAAGGAATGACTAAGTGAGAGAAGCGTCGTAAAGGATATTGTTGGGAGATATTAAGGAGTAGACGGATAATTCAGGGGACGCCAGAAAGGGGTCAGGTTAAACAGGGGTTAGGTCAAGGTACGTCAAGGGGTAGAATACTTTCAAGATATCTTTGTCTGTGGTGGAACACATAGACTGGTATGAGACGACAGACTTGAAGAATTGTGAGATAAGGATTTTAATATTAGTATAACTTGATTGACCTCTAACAGATAAAATGTATCTTCAAGAAAAAGTCCACATTTCCTTGGAAAAACATGCTTCTTTATATATACTCACTGTTTGTACAATTAGTGTCATTGAATCCTCCAGCACAGTTACATTGGTAATCATTGATGAGATCAACGCATGTCCCATTGTTCTGACATGGATTTTCAGCACATTCATCATTATCTGTAACACATGGTCTTTGTTAAGCATAACTGATTTTAAACTAGTTTAATTCACCGTCATTTCATATCATTTTCATTGGCTTACCTTCCTCGCAATTGGTTCCATTAAATCCAGGAGCACAGCTACACTCATAAGCATTGATGAGGTCCGCACATGTTCCATTGTTCTGACAAGGATTATCGGCACATTCATTAATATCTGTAAAAACGTATTTCATGTAATCCCAACTTTCACTTATAGAAAGGATAGCCAAAGTTCTTCAGCATTGAGTATCAGAATTTATAGAGTTGTGATATTTAAAATGTGATCTAAAGTTGCATTTGTCTTAGGTTCATTAATTTACTTACCTTCCTCACAGTTTGTTCCATTAAATCCTGCCTCACAAGTGCAGTTGTAATCATTGATGAGGTCCTCACAGGTTGCATTGTTTTGACAAGGATTTTCTGCACATTCATCTATATCTGTTACAAATAAAACGCATAAGATATGATTTACAGATAAAGAATATGCAATGGTTTGCAATATTGAATCCAATCAGTCATTTCATTCACTACTGGTAAAGGATTTCTAAAACTTTCACGTGATGGTTTGCAATTGGATCTGTTATTTATTTCAACACTGGCAAAGGATTTTGAAATGTTCACGAGACTTTGAAAATGAAGGTGTGTAGTTTTCAAGCCTGGAAGAAATTGATTGCACGACTGAAAAAGACTTCTTTTATGGAACATATGGAGATAACCAACAGTATTCAAGATCAAACGTCCATAAAACAATACAAAATAGGAGCACAGCAAACACGGACCTCCAAAACATCAGATGTGGGATCAGGTCATGATATTGATCAAGAGAAACCTCAAGTAATGACTAAGTGAGAGAAGCGTCGTAAAGGATATTGTTGGGAGATATTAAGGAGTAGACGGATAATTCAGGGGACGCCAGAAAGGGGTCAGGTTAAACAGGGGTTAGGTCAAGGTACGTCAAGGGGTAGAATACTTTCAAATTATCTTTGTCTGTGGTGGAACACATAGACTGGTATGAGACGGCAGACTTGAAGAATTGTGAGATAAGGATTTTAATATTCGTATAACTTGATTGACCTCTAACAGATAAAATATATCTTCAAGAAAAAGTCCACATTTCCTTGGAAAAACATGCTTCTTTATATATACTCACTGTTTGTACAATTAGTGTCATTGAATCCTGCAGCACAGTTACATTGGTAATCATTGATGAGATCAAGGCATGTTCCATTGTTCTGACATGGATTTTCAGCACATTCATCAATATCTGAAACAGATGCTCTTTGTTAAGCATAACTGATTTTAAACTAGTTTAATTCACCGTCATTTCATATCATTTTCGTTGGCTTACCTTCCTCGCAATTGGTTCCATTAAATCCAGGAGCACAGCTACACTCATAACCATTGATGAGGTCCGCACATGTTCCATTGTTCTGACAAGGGCTATTGGCACATTCATCAATATCTGTAAAAACGTCTTTCATGTAATCCCAACATTCACTTATACAAAGGATAGCCAATGTTCTTAAGCATTGACGTATCAGAATTTACATAGTTGTGATATCTAAAATGTGATCTAAAGTTTCATTTGTCTTAGGTTCATTAATTTACTCACTCTCCTCACAGTTTGTACCATTAAATCCTGCCTCACAACTGCAGTTGTAATCATTGATGAGGTCCTCACATGTTGCATTGTTTTGACAAGGATTTTCTGCACATTCATCTATATCTGTTACAAATAAAACGCATAAGATATGATTTAGAGATAAAGAATATGCAATGGTTTGCAATATTGAATCCAATCAGTCATTTCATTCACTACTGGCAAAGGATTTCTAAAACTTTCACGTGATGCTTTGCAATTGGATCCGTAATTTATTTCACCACTGGCAAAGGATTTTGAAATGTTCACGAGACTTTGAAAATGAAGGTGTGTAGTTTTCAAGCCCGGAAGAAATTGATTGCACGACTGAAAAAGACTTCTATTATGGAACATATGGAGATTCCGAACAGTATTCAAGATCAAACGTCCATAAAATAATACAAAATGGGAGCACAGCAAACACGGACCTCCAAAACATCAGATGTGGGATCAGGTCATGATATTGATCAAAAAAAGTATCAAGGAATGACTAAGTGAGAGAAGCGTCGTAAAGGATATTGTTTGGAGATATTAAGGAGTAGACGGATAATTCAGGGGACGCCAGAAAGGGGTCAGGTTAAACAGGGGTTAGGTCAAGGTACGTCAAGGGGTAGAATACTTTCAAGATATCTTTGTCTGTGGTGGAACACATAGACTGGTATGAGACGACAGACTTGAAGAATTGTGAGATAAGGATTTTAATATTAGTATAACTTGATTGACCTCTAACAGATAAAATATATCTTCAAGAAAAAGTCCACATTTCCTTGGAAAAACATGCTTCTTTATATATACTCACTGTTTGTACAATTAGTGTCATTGAATCCTGCAGCACAGTTACATTGGTAATCATTGATGAGATCAACGCATGTCCCATTGTTCTGACATGGATTTTCAGCACATTCATCATTATCTGTAACACATGGTCTTTGTTAAGCATAACTGATTTTAAACTAGTTTAATTCACCGTCATTTCATATCATTTTCATTGGCTTACCTTCCTCGCAATTGGTTCCATTAAATCCAGGAGCACAGCTACACTCATAAGCATTGATGAGGTCCGCACATGTTCCATTGTTCTGACAAGGATTATCGGCACATTCATTAATATCTGTAAAAACGTATTTCATGTAATCCCAACTTTCACTTATAGAAAGGATAGCCAAAGTTCTTCAGCATTGAGTATCAGAATTTATAGAGTTGTGATATTTAAAATGTGATCTAAAGTTGCATTTGTCTTAGGTTCATTAATTTACTTACCTTCCTCACAGTTTGTTCCATTAAATCCTGCCTCACAACTGCAGTTGTAATCATTGATGAGGTCCTCACAGGTTGCATTGTTTTGACAAGGATTTTCTGCACATTCATCTATATCTGTTACAAATAAAACGCATAAGATATGATTTAGAGATAAAGAATATGCAATGGTTTGCAATATTGAATCCAATCAGTCATTTCATTCACTACTGGTAAAGGATTTCTAAAACTTTCACGTGATGGTTTGCAATTGGATCTGTTATTTATTTCAACACTGGCAAAGGATTTTGAAATGTTCACGAGACTTTGAAAATGAAGGTGTGTAGTTTTCAAGCCTGGAAGAAATTGATTGCACGACTGAAAAAGACTTCTTTTATGGAACATATGGAGATAACCAACAGTATTCAAGATCAAACGTCCATAAAACAATACAAAATAGGAGCACAGCAAACACGGACCTCCAAAACATCAGATGTGGGATCAGGTCATGATATTGATCAAGAGAAACCTCAAGTAATGACTAAGTGAGAGAAGCGTCGTAAAGGATATTGTTGGGAGATATTAAGGAGTAGACGGATAATTCAGGGGACGCCAGAAAGGGGTCAGGTTAAACAGGGGTTAGGTCAAGGTACGTCAAGGGGTAGAATACTTTCAAAATATCTTTGTCTGTGGTGGAACACATAGACTGGTATGAGACGGCAGACTTGAAGAATTGTGAGATAAGGATTTTAATATTAGTATAACTTGATTGACCTCTAACAGATAAAATATATCTTCAAGAAAAAGTCCACATTTCCTTGGAAAAACATGCTTCTTTATATATACTCACTGTTTGTACAATTAGTGTCATTGAATCCTGCAGCACAGTTACATTGGTAATCATTGATGAGATCAAGGCATGTCCCATTGTTCTGACATGGATTTTCAGCACATTCATCAATATCTGTAACAGATGCTCTTTGTTAAGCATACAGACCCTAAACCGTGCTACTACACCTCAGAAACGAACCGTACCGTTCTGTGCAGAAAGCGTACCGTACCGGGAACAAAGCGAACCGTTCCGTTCACAAAACGTACCGTTCCGTGCACAAAGCGAACCGTTCCGTGCACAAAGCGTACCATACCGTTCTCAAAGCGAACCGTTCCGCCCACAAAGCGTACCGTTCCGTGCAAGAAACGAACCGTGTTGTTCTTTGGTTAATTATGCAAACCACGCTCCCAATGATTTTTGAATCGTGTAATGACCAAATAAGTCATTTTGGTTTATTTCTCGCTACGGCGCCTGTGAAAGGAGGACGGAGGTTGTGTCTGCTCGATCGAAACACCATTATCAAGTATCATGCATCTGGGCCTTCAACTTGAAAAATAAGGAAACTACTCGAAGCGAACTACAACTTTAAAACAACTAGACAGAGTGTGAGACGATTCCTTATTTGCTATAAATTAGATCAACTGGTTGTGTTTGTGGTCAAAGGTACAGTACAGGCCACGAGTTTTTCCCGCAAAACACGTACGGGGCACAGTGGACCTCGAACAATGTCGGCGTCTTTGAAGTCTTTCATTTTCTTTATAATACCACCAAGATAGAACACGCTTTCATGAATTAATTCCCTGGTTGTCTCTACTTTTGATTTTAATTTTGCTCATTTTATTTATTAAAACTTATCGGAAACAAGATCGTTTTAGTCGTGAGTATATGCATTCATATGTAGTACATATCAGATGCGTGATTTAACTAAATAAATGAATTATTTTGTTAGAATTTCAAAACATATGTAAACTGTCTAGAGTAAAATTTAAAAAAAGAACCGTATTAGACTCTCGCATTAATTCTGTTAAGATTTTTACCATAGGCGAATCATTGGTGCAGTTATACTTACACTGAAAATCTGTAATCATGTAAAATATGGATTAAAATATTACATGCGGTAAACATGAAGATTTCTACTGAACTGACAGAGATGATAACCTTACTAATAAAACTGTGATCAACTTTCACGCTGCATACAAAAATCGCCTGCCGAATTTCTTGCAAATAAAATGTGCAAACTGCAGTATAAATATTACTTCATTCTGAAACACATCTCATGAAAAATGAAAAAAAAAAGTTTGCGAAAAAAATAAAGATATTATAAGGTTTGTTACACTGTATCCCCATCCCCTTTCTAGAAAGCAATACGAATTAGCTGGTTAAATTTCTTTAGAAATCTGCAAAATGGTACGTTGTTGTAAATAAAAAAATATCACAATCTACAGGAAACATCCTTATTAGTGCCTGTAAAAAGATAATTTACTAAATAAAATGAAATAAAAAAAAATATCAATCCTCTTTCAAGTCATATTATGTTTGTTAACCCCCCCTCGACCAAAATGTACGATCCTTGGAGAGAGCTATGTGCGCGGACTGTGGACCGTGGCTTGAGACGATGCTCCCCCCACTAGAAGGCGATACTAATGCGAATTAATGTGACTTTAAATTGTGCTTTTGTAAAAACAGAAAAAATTATAATTTACTGATACATGCTTATTTATTTTTGTCTGAAAAAGGATAATTTAGGAAGTACATTTGTAATCAGTGTTGTGGTGAAACCTGGAAGATGAGTTTGCTGGATGTCAGTTGAGTGATTAAATACACTTGATGTGGTCAGAACTAAATAATTTGAAAGGTGTGTTAAACACCCGGCGCCCCTGTCCCTCCGGCTGTGACCCAATGTTTTTTTTAAACAGGTGTGAACTATGAACTGACCATAAGAATGTTTCAAATCACAGGAGAAATTCTTCCTGCGTAAACAGACTTTCAGGGTCACCTAGCGTCATGCCAATTTGATTGACAGGTGATGCACGAGGATTTCATGCGTGCAGCAAGCATGTACAGAGAACGGATTATTCATAGCACAATAGTTGTAAATGGGTTGATTAAATAGAATCATAGACTGATTAATTGTGACTTTGGCGATGTAGATAAAACGAAGAATGAGAATAAATACAAGTATTTTTTTTAGAGAATGTATTAAGGGGTTGCATCTCTCTCTCTCCCTCTCTCTCTCTCTCTCTCTCTCTCTCATTCACGACATCGTTTTTACAGACTTTAGAAGAGCAGAATAACTTAATAAAATTAAGAAAAACTTATTAAAATAATTACTCGATACACTGAAAGGATTATTGAAAACATAGATACTTGTCTGTGAAAAAAAAATGTTTTCTGTTACGAGAAAGTGCTCGGAAGTTTTTGTATTGATTTCGTGTATCTGCTGCTGATTTTCGTATTTATTTTGTTTACTGATATTTTTCTTCTGCAGCAAACGTTTAAACGAGAGATCTACAATTTTAAAAATAAAAAAAACCGATGTACATATCTAATTACTAGGAATAAAAATGAAGCAGGAATAGTCATATTTATTTCTATAGATCAATCATTTAAAAATAATTTATATATGTGCGTAGCGTTATATGTATAGAACAAGTATATACCAGGTATATATTAATTCCTTTTTGTTATGTTACAACTTTATTTTAAAGTGAAAAAATATTTCATTAATCTTTTTTTCCTTTTTAAAATGAAGGTTCAGCATACGTAAAAAAGAAGCACGGAAATACTTACGAGTTCTATATATATTAATACATATCTAAACATATGCCAAAGACATCGGTGGGATGATGTTTTTTCTTCCTTTCATTTTTGTTTTCATTTTCCCTCCATCACCGCTTTAGTGTAAATTTATGTTTAAATTGAAAACGAGAAATTAATTTGTTAATATAGGAAATTAATTATATACGTGCATTAAGTACTTTAAAAGTCATTTAAAATGAATTGATTTTTAGCAGCCAATCAAGAATTAAAGCTAACAGGGTCCGCCCACTTCATTTGCATACCGTTTCCCAAAGCGTACCGTTCACAAAACGAACCGTTCCGTGCAAGAAACGAAACGTACCGTGCACAAAGCGTACCGTTCCGTGCACAAAGCGTACTGTTCCGTGCACAAAGCGAACCGTTCCGTGCACAAAGCGTACCGTACCGTTCACAAAACGAACCGTTCCGTTCACAAAGCGTACCGTTCCGTGCACAAAGCGTACCGAACCGTACCGTTCAAGTGGTGTAGTAGCACGGTTTAGGGTCTGTAACTGATTTTAAACTAGTTTAATTCACCGTCATTTCATATCATTTTCATTGACTTACCTTCCTCGCAATTGGTTCCATTAAATCCAGGAGCACAGCTACATTCATAACCATTGATGAGGTCCACACATGTTCCATTGTTCTGACAAGGACTATCGGCACATTCATCAATATCTGTAAAAACGTCTTTCGTGTAATCCCAACTTTCACTTATACAAAGGATATCAAATGTTCTTAAGCATTGCCGTTCCCAAGTGAAGTAAATCAACTAGAAATCTTTCTTATCAACTGAACAGTTTACAGAGTTGTGATATCTAAAATTTCATTTGTCTTAGCTTCATTAATTTACTTACTCTCCTCACAGTTTGTTCCACTAAAACCTGCAACAATACTTGTGTTGTTATCATTGATGTGGGCCGCTCATGTTCCATTGTTTTGACACGGACTATCGGCACATTCATCAATATCTGTAAAAACGTATTTCATGTAATCCCAACGTCCACTTATACAAAGGATATCAAATGTTATGAAGCATGGACATTCCCAAATGAAAAAAATCAACTTAAAAATGTTTCCTCATAAATGAAAAGTTTACACTGTTTTGATATCTTAAATTAGTTTAATGTAATGAAAAGTTTCATTTGTCTTATTTTCATTTATTTACTAACTTTTCTCACAGTTTGTTCCATTAAATCCTGCAACACAACTGCAGTTGTAATCATTGATGAGGTCCGCACATGTTCCATTGTTTTGACACGGATTTTCTGCACATTCATCTATATCTGTTACAAATAAAATGCATATGATACGAATTATAGATTAAGAATACTCAATGGTTTGAAATTGAATTGAATCAGTCATTTAATCCATTATTGGTTGAGAATTTTTTTAATTTTCACGTGATGGTTTGCAATTGGATCGGTAATTTATTTCACCCATGATTAAGAATTTTAAAATGTTCACGAGACTTTGAAAATGAAAGTGTGTACATTTCAAGCCTGAAAGAAACAGATTGCACAACTGAAAAAGCAAAAGTTCGTAACACAATACAAAAGGAGAGCAGAGCAAACACGGACCTCCAAAATATCAAATGTGGGATCAAGTCATGATATTGATCAAGAAAAATCTCAAGAAATGACTAAGTGAGAGCAATGTCGTAATGGATATTGTCAGGAGATATTAAAGGAAAGACTGATAATTCAGGGCATGTCAGAAATTGGACAGGTTTAACACGGATTAGGTCATGGTTCTTCAAGGGTTAGAATACTTCCAAAATATCTTTGTCTGTGGTGGAATTCATAGACTGGTGTCAGACGACAGACTTGAGTGATTTTGAGATAAGGATTAAAATATAACTTGAATGACCTATAAAAGATATCTAAAAAACAAAATATATCTTCCAGAAAAAGTCAACATTTCCTTGGGAAAAAGGATGGTTCCTCATATGTACTCACTGTTTGTACAATTCGTGTCATTGAATCCTGCAGCACAGTTACATTGGTAATCATTGATGACATCAAGGCATGTCCCATTGTTCTGACATGGATTTTCAGCACATTCATCAATATCTGTAACAGATGCTCTTTGTTAAGCATAACTGATTTTGAACTAGTTTTATTCACCGTCACTTCATATCATTTTCATTGACTTACCTTCCCCGCAATTGGTTCCATTAAATCCAGGAGCACAGCTACACTCATAACCATTGATGAGGTCCGCACATGTTCCATTGTTCTGACAAGGACTATCGGCACATTCATCAATATCTGTAAATACGTATTTCATGTAATCCCAACGTCCACTTACACAAAGCATATCAAATGTTATGAAGCATGGACATTTCCAAATTAAAAAATTCAACTTAAAAATGTTTCCTCTTAACTGAACAGTTTACACTGTTTTGATATCTTAAATTAGGTTAATGTGATCAAAAGTTTCATTTGTCTTATTTTCATTTATTTACTTACTTTCCTCACAGTTTGTTCCATTAAATCCTGCAACACAACTGCAGTTGTAATCATTGATGAGGTCCACGCATGTTCCATTGTTTTGACACGGATTTTCTGCACATTCATCTATATCTGTTACAAATGAATTACATAAGATATGATTTAGAGATAAAATATATTCAATGGTTTGCAATATTGAATCGAATCAGTCATTTCATTCACTACTGGTAAAGGATTTGTAAAACTTTCAGGAGACTTTGAAATAGTATGGGGTTTAGTTTTCAAGTAGAGAAGAAATTGATTGCACTACTAAAAGGAATTTCATTAATAATGTCAAGATTTTGATCAAGAAAAAGCTCGAATAATGACTAAGTGAGAGCAGAATCGTTTGGGGTTATGTCAAAGGGTAGAATTGGGTTTTAGGAATTTGTCATGAGAAATGCTGGGAGAGAGTAAGGATAACCAAGGAAAATTTTAGTAAATGACAGTTAAACGTCATTTGTTTAACCTAAGGGGAAAACTTCTCAGTATTTATAGTAGAAAACCCCTTATACTTTCAGTCGTGCGAAGAAAAAAAAAGTGACAAATTAAAAGATCCTCTCACATGGGTGAACTGAATCCCATGTTCAACAATGATACATTAAATTTTCCCTGAATGACATTTTTTTTCATATTCCTCTCGTTTCTCTCTTTTCATGACAAAATGCTGAAGTATGTGGCGCTATAGAAAGATTGGTATGAAATGTCAGACCTTAGTAATTGTAAGATTAAATTGAAAAATCTAGGATTAAAATAGAAAATTTTAAAATGAATGATCTCTAAGATATCTTTAAAAAAAAGTCAATCTCTGCTCGGAAAAATCTTGATTCTTCTTTCCCTTTTACACTTACTGTTTGCACAATTTGTGTCATTGAATCCTGCAACACAGTTACATTGGTAATCATTGATCAGATCAAGGCATGTCCCATTGTTCTGACATGGATTTTCAGCACATTCATCAATATCTGTAACAAATGCTCTAGGCTAAGGAGGACTTATTTTGAAAAATAGTTTTATTCATCGTCATTTCATATCATTTTGATTTACCTACCCTTTTCGCAATTGGTTCCATTAAATCCAGGAACACAGTTACACTCATAACCATTGATGAGGTCCACACATGTTCCATTGTTCTGACAAGGGCTATCAGAACATTCATCAATATCTGCTAAATGCAATGAAATGCAATCAAAATATATAAGTCGTGATAAGTCGTGATATTATACAGAAAATATTAACTTAAAATCTTTGTCCATGCACCCTTAAAGTTACACACTCACTGTTTTTACAGTTCTTATCATTAAATCCAGGAGCACAGTCACATTCATATTTATTTATAAGGTCCGCACATATTCCATTGTTCTGGCATGGATTTTCAGCGCATTCATCAATATATATCAAAATATATCCAAAGCTAGGTGATTATTTTGATTTTATGTTAGAGTATTTAGAATATGGCTTGTGAAAATATAGAAGTCTATTAACATTTAACAGGGGCTTTTCAACAGAGATCGATAAATGGCGACCCTGTTATCAAGGTCTACAATTTTTCAAAGTGGATAAAATGGGGATGTAAGGAGGAACTTAATACTAGCACGTGTGTAAATGACATTTATTTTCAATAAGGTCAATAAGTACAAACGATTGCGATTGAATTTCTTTAATTGCCTACCATATTAATGATTGAAATGTGACAACAACACAGGTAGAAGGAGGGATAGCCATGTCACGATTTGACCTCGTCAAGAATGGTGGTCGTCACTGTTAGGAAATCTTCCTATCAGACGACGGAAGGATTTTTGATTGGATAAATTAACAAAATTTGTACACCAATGCAACCTGTTATTGACATTTACTTAACTTTTGCATTGAAAAGGATTTTTCACAATGGCAAGAAACAAAAATTAATTAATGAAATCATTGTGATCATTGTGTACTCACAACTTTCAACTAGTCTCTTGCGAGAAATTAAAATAATTTTTCCACATGAGTTTTTTTCTGTTCACAACTCTTTTCCTTCATAATGAAACATAAATATCAATATAACAATATCTTCATCTTAAAAACTGAAAACGTCGAGTTGACAGGAGCCGATCATCTAAGGGAAACGAGATTCGAAGCGTTCTGATGACTTGATGGGTGTGGTCATTTTAAAACTTTAGTGATCTCATCTAGAAGAAGACCTCCAGATAAAGACATACAAAATTGGTAAAATTTTAGAATTAAAATGTATGAGATTTTTCTTTGCCAAATGTTGTTGGACGACTAAAGATATCATATCTTTAATATCAAGTTATATTTTATGGTTTCTTTTTTGATACCAGCCTTCTTAAATTTGATGTTCTATGGCAGACAACGGACCAAATCAGTTTCTAAAATTTTTAGCTCACCTGAGCCAAAGGCTCAAGTGAGCTATTCTGATCAAAATTTGTCCGTCGTCTGTCGTCGTCGTTGTCGTAAACTTTTCACATTTTCGACTTCTTCTCAAGAACCGCTGGGCCGATTTCAACCAAACTTGCCACAAACTATCCTTGGGTGAAGGGGATTCAAGTTTGTTCAAATGAAGGGCCACGCCCTCATTCAAGGGGAGATAATTGGGAATAAATGAAAATTTGGTGGCATATTTTAAAAATCTTCTTCTCAAGAACCAGTGTGCCAGGAAAGATGAAACTTACAGAGAAACATCCTCAGGTAGTGTACATTCAAATTTGTTCAAATCATGACCCCCGGGGGTAGGGCGGGGCCAAAATGGCCGACCAAAGTTTTACATAGAAATATATAGGAAAATCTTTAAAAATCTTCTTCTCAAGAATGACAAAGCCATAATTCATCATATTTATATGGAAGCATGCTCAAGTAGTGTAGATTCAAGTTTGTTCAAATCATGACCCCCGGGGGTAGGGCGGGGCCAAAATGGCCGACCAAAGTTTTACATAGAAATATACAGGAAAATTCTTTTAAAATCTTTTTCTCAAGAATGACAAAGCCATAATTCATCATATTTATATGGAAGCATGCTCAGGTAGTGTGGATTCAACTTTGATGAAATCATGGCCCCCGGGGGTAAGGCGGGGCCAAAATGGCCGACCAAAGTTTTCAAAGATATATATAGGAAAATTCTTTAAAAATCATTTTCTAAAAAATAGCAAATCCATGATTGTTCATGGGACTACTTTTGGATTTAAACTTTACAATAAAAAACCATTTTCTACTTTTTCCTACCCTTAGTGCTCAGGTGAACGATGTGGCCCATGGGCCTCTTGTTTGATTAACTATAGGACGTTTTTTTTTATTCATTCAAATAATCGTTTTTCAAGGAAACTTTGGATTTACATGACAAAATCACGAAAAACACCATGTTTAACATAATGTCATCAGTTTTACAGAGTGGTACACATGTAAATGGATTCAGTGCACAATAGTCCGGAGATTGATTGATTGTAAAACTGTATATTGTTTAACGCCGAGTTGGCAATTTTTCAACCATGTTTTGGCGGACCACAGTCCGGAGAAATTTGGATAATACTGTCTCAATAATATCAGCAGTGAAACTGAGTGAAACCAGTTGGTGATGAGCATTTATGGGGATCGCATTTTAAAAGTAAATTGATTTAGATACTCTTATATTGGTATTTAGAATGTTTGTACCTAGCAATAATAACCATTACATTTAATATTTTTTCAGTGATTTTTCCATTCAATAAACACATTTGTGCAAAGAAAAGGAAAGATGACGTTGAACTGCAAATTGATTTGTTTTTCATTTTAATTGCATTTGTTTTGAATTACCGTTTGTACAATTTGTTCCATTGAATCCAGGTACACATTGACAGTCGTAGTTGTTTATAAGGTCAATACAGGTTCCATTGTTCTGACAAGGGTCAACCGCACATTCGTCTACATTAATGAAGACAAATAATCAACAATTACAATATATTTATCTATTATCAAAAAATGCTATCTTAAATATATTGGATTATACGCGAAATAATAATAATGTTTAATAGTCTAGTTTATTCGAGGGATGAACCAAAAGTTATGTCACAACTTCGAAAAATTTGCTGTTAGGTGACGTAAAACAATAAAATTAGAAATGATGGTAGCTAACTCTACACCAAATCAGACCTGAAAATTTCAATTTAATATGGTTTATACTTTTCAAAATATCAGATTATACACAACATGCTTTTTTGGTAGTCACCGCACCTATATTACGTCATATGAATTGACGGATAATACTTTTAAACATTTCCCTGTTTCACTAAATATACGAGGGTTGTCCCAAAAAGTCGTAGACAGGGAACATAGTTTATTTTCTCTTTGCTAAATCAAATTTATTTTTTGGTCATGCAAAGAGTAACATTTTATGATCATGTATTTCAATTTTCATGACGATACCATATTTAATATGAAAACTATGGAAAAATAAAGAAACCATGTAAGTGTACATCGGCGCACGAAAGCAAACGTAATTTACGTCTCTCATAACGTCATAGTCCCTTTTTCTGCTTCACATGAGGCTATCAACATCCAAATGAATATTTATTATAGTTAAAAACCACTCTTGACTAAGGGAATAATTTAATCGTTTTCTTAAGCATATTCAAATTTTTGTCAAAATTAAATTAGTTGAAAGATCACTTTACATTTTAGGCAGCAGAGAACACACCTTCTTTGACGACGTTCATGGTCCAGAACGTTCCCAAATGTCTGCTCTAAACAATCAGTACTCTACTTTACATACAATAACTATTTTTTCTATCTAGAGAAAAAACCTTTGAATCTCATACTATTAAAAAAAAATTTATTAAAATATTATGTGTAATGTCCTTTCTGTACTCTTTCTCCCCGTCTCTGATGAATATAAAACATACCTAAAACAATTTATTACATTTCCGTGCGCCGGGTACGCGTTCGACGACGTCATTTTCATCAACCTCAATTCCAACAACACTTTGAAAATCATGCCATCAATCCTCTGTTTCTAATGCTATTTATATGAAAATTTAACATATGATTAAGATTTTGATTCTGGTTTCAGTGATTTAAATTTTAGTTCAATCTTTTACATAGTACCAAAGAAATAGAAACAAAATTAATGTAATAGTTATATGCGTAAATTATTCCGAATTTTGGTCGTGCGCCGACAGACCATATCGGCCTTCATATAAATCGTCCCAATATAATTAATATGAAAGATATATATTTAAGAATTCACAATTTTAAATAACATTGAATGTATTATGTCTATGCAAAATTTGGTTAGTATTGGTTGCGTGTTAAAAAAGTTAATAAGATTGTCTACGACTTTTTGGGACAACCCTCGTATTTGAGATTCACGGACACGTTCATAAATTTTCCCTCCTTTAAGAATTCTTGTCACCCATCTCAATCTATTTTCACTATAATTTCACTCTGTTTTCATAATCAGGTTCTCTGTAAAACTTCTTTGAACAGTGGCATATGACAAACTTAAACTTTAATATGTCGCTATAACCGCCTGTGTTTTTTTTTTTTTTGACACCATGAAAGTTTTCGTCCGACCTGTCATCTTTCGGTTTTCTTGTCCTTGTTAAATGACCCATCGCCCTCCCAAAATTAATGAAACAATTATCTAAAAAGAAGTCTTATTTTCATTCTTTCTTCTGTGAGTCTGGTGAATCACTGTAACTGTCTCCATTGGCGATTTTCCCATTTTGAAACAAAAATGCATTAAAGCTCATCGCGACGTTTTTCTTTTTCATTGTGACAATTGTTATATACAAAGTAAAACAACAATGTTTATGATAAGAATTATAAATGTTGTCATGTCTTTTTCACCTAAAATCCAGAAAATAACGTAAATTTTGTCTTTTAAAGTATTAGCGATTAGGCGCTTTTTAGATGCTATTTAGATGCTATTTAGTGTGTTTGTCTTCTTCATTCTAGGAAAAATACATTTAAAAACGTGACGTTTAGCTGTGACACTGCGACAACTCCTTTGTTCTAGATCATAAACATTTTTTAAAATAAATTCAATTAATCAATTTTAAATGCAAATTCAATTTTAATTAGATTTACACATATGTGCATCCTTTGGTATATTATATTTTATAATGTGACGCCATATATAGAAAAGATATCGACACTGTGACATTACCTCTGGATAAACGGATATTGCTGAATAAAATTTTTAATTAGATTGGTACTTTTATAGTTTGACATAAATCACCAGTTGTGCAGTTCGTTCCATTGAATCCAGGTACACAGAGGCATTTGAAGCCGATTTTAAGGTCTACACATGTTCCATTGTTTTGACAAGGCTCATCCACACATTCATTGATATCTAAACCAAAAACAAATCTATTGTTACATTTTAATTCATTCTACACGTTGTAAATCTTTAAATATTTACATGATTTTTCTATATTAGGAAATATATGAAAAGTTTGACGTATGTAATAGCATTTAATTGTAAATACTGTTTGAAACAAAAATCAATTAATGGATCACCTAAACAAGATACCCCTGCATCTTCATGATGTCCACAATTATGAGATCCCCATTCTCTATGTGGGCAAAGGGATATGTCCGTTTCTGTTCCACTACATTTAACTTCATCCAACCAAATCTGTCCACTCCCCTCACCAAAGTATGCTAAGGAAAATGCAGTTGCATTTTGTCTGAAAAAGTGTAATCACTTAACAGTAGTAGAGCCACTAGTACATGTATATCTAACTATCAGTTATGAGTCGTCTTTTAGTTGAAGGTTAATATATAATGACAAATCTACGTGCAACATATGGGCCATGAGTTATATGACTATGGCCTCAAAATGTTCTGAGTATAATTTTTTAGCAACTGAGTAATTTCAGTGTAACGTTAACTGGATCTTAGTTAAGTTTTTTCCCTTGAATCATCTGCCAGTTTAGCCTATACACATTACAGCATATTGACAACAAATCTCCTAAAAAAATTATCATCTAAGTAGAATTTAGGCCAAATTCAGTGAGACATCTAGTACTGAGAATGAAGTCTTTACTTTCAAGTAATCTGACTATAGGAATACTTTTATTTAGAAAAGTATTCTATATATAAACAGCAGACAATATTGACCTTCTTTTGAGTAAAACAACTTTCACCGATACACGTAAGCATACTATATGACTTATGCCTCATTGCTTGAGAGGCATGGACTGTGCAAGACGTGTATATGATAAGTCTCAAAATAAGGTCATAGTAATGTACCCGTACTTTTGAGAAATATATACAAAAGAAACATATAAGAAAAAGGGCCTTAAAGTGGAAGAGATTTGTTTAGGAAATTAAAAGCTACCATATGGAAAAAAGGAAAGATTCAAAGGAAAAAAAAAGGAGAAAACTTGCTGTCATTGTTGAATCCAAATTTATGTTTTATAGTTATTTCTGTAATCTCAGATTTGAACTCACCGCAAGGTTTTCTAGCTAAGAGACAAGACCCCCCCCCCAACTTTTTTTCATCATATATTAAATATCTCTAGTTTGACTCAACCACTTGCAAGATGCATTCCAGGAAGCAGTATTGTCCTATTAAAATTTGAATTGAATATGTCTTAAACATTTCTTACAATTAAGGGAAAGTAGTTTTGAATATGATTTTTTTAATTATAAAGTTGTCCTGAGTTTTTTACCTTTGATATCCGAGCATCTCACAGATAACTCCGGCATCTATAGAATCCCATCTATCATCACAGATTGTACCCCATACACCGGAATGAAAGACCTCAACTCGGCCATTGCTTGGGTATATTCCATCGACGAGTCTTACACTAGTATTGCTGAATAATTCACCTGATAAAGTTGACACAACATAATTATTGTTACTGTAGCCACAGTACTGTATCCTCTGCCGCTTTCTGGTCGAAATGCAATAATAATTGATAACAAAGCAAAAATTGAAAGCTGAGAACAAAAAAGGCACAAGGACCCGGTGAGACGTTGAATATTGACTAGACTTGAAAATTGATCCGGGGTTCATTTTTCAACGTTGAATATTGAACCGGGGGTGATTTTTCTCCGTTGAAAATTGAGACCAAAAGTCGTTGAATTTATAACCGGGGCCATTTCTTCAACAACTTGATTTGTTTTCGTATCCCTGATGACTTTAACAAGTTGAAAATTGACCCTTTTGAATGTTGACCCCACCTCAGAGTTTGAACATTTTTAAAACTGGGATGTTGTTTTAAGAGATTTATCAGTATCTCTATATTTATATTTCAGTTTCGATTTTCCCTATTCAAGAGTAAGAGAAATAGACCTATAATCCCGTGTATACAGTATATGTACATTTTGATCAGTACACGATTTCAGTTATCTTCAAGCACGACAACTTTATTTTATGACAGTATTTTCTAAAATCCATAGCATCAATAAATAACGACAAAACTATGAATAGGGCATAAACAAAAATCCTGGAAATCTGGTGTCTAGAAAGTGAGCCCTATATATATTGATCAGGTGTGCAGAACTTCCTATCTAGTCAAATTTAGTATAATAATTAACAAATTAAAAGCCTAAAAATAAGAATGAAACACGTCGGCCAAAATGAATCCAATGATAGGTTTTATTTCTGAAAAAGATTAATATAGCGACATTAGCATGTAAGTAATGCTGACATGTAAGTAATGCTGACTTCAAACAAGGTTGATGAAGTCCTTGTAATAAACTTATCTGTCAGTAGCCTTCCTCGGCTTAAAAATTGATCGTTTTCGGAGCTTAACCTTGAGATTATTATTATTTTAAAACACAGCATTCGATACAATGTGATTCCTTTTCGATTAGTTGTTATTCACATTGGAGGAAATATGACAGTATGATTCATATATCATAATATGTCATTCTATTTTGAAAACATGCGTTTCCTATTCGATGTCATTGATACTTGAAAACATGCGTTTCCTATTCGATGTCATTGATATATTTGAAAACATGCGTTTCCTATTCGCTAATTCTGTCATTCCTATTCGACAATTCTATCTTTCTTATTCGATAATCATTTGGTTTATATGCAATTAAGTTGATGCTAGCATCTATTTCGATTTGAAAAAAAAATACGATTCCCATTCGATAAACTTCTTTTCTTATGGCATAATTTCATCTGGGATGTTTTTCATATTCTTTTTCAATAATTGCATTTTGGGGAATATGAAAAAACTAGAACTGGTAGCAAACTCAATCAAATAGGAATGACATGTTTAACATTATCATCGTATATAAATCATTTTATTATGGAATAGAATGACAAAACTATCGAATAGGAATTTCATATTGTCGAATAGAATAACACCATAAATGTGATGAATTCTCGAACAGAAATAACATTTTTCTCGCACAAGAATAACAACTAATCGAATAGGAATCATATTTTATCGAACAGGAATGACATGATTTAGAAAAAGAAAACAAAGTTTTTGAATATGAACTAGAGGTACTGTGAGCAATGAGCTCACTAAATGATACCCCCGCCTCCCATAATGTCCATGTGTTGCTATTTATTGTTTTACGGTAATGTTTAAAGAGGAATAACTCGTCCTATCAAATGTTATCCAGAAGGTTCTATATGTGACGTCATAGGTAAACATATAATGGCAATGTCCATGTTTTGCTATGGGAAACCTAAAATACGTGTCGAATAAAAAAGTAACATAGGAGGTGCACAATGGCAATATGTAATAAAGATTCTGTGAAAGTTTCATTAAATTTCACTCAGTAGGATAAGAGGAGTTGCGGATAAGAGATAACAGACGGACGGACGTACAGACGGACGGACGGAAATCCCGATTACTATAAACCCTCTCACTTTTCAAGCGGGGGTATAATGAAACAGTTTAGGCACATTCTATGGTGACTTTAATTTAAAGTTCATTGTGATATATCGAGTCGAAATATGAACTAAAGTAACTATAGTTTTCTGATCATACGTCATCGGTGTATTTAAATGTTGAGTTGAACTCAACAGCAAGTGCTTTCTTCTTGTCATGCAAAGTTTTTTTAAAAACATATTTTGATTCTGCTTCATAGAAATATTAAAAAAGGTCAGCCAATAAAGGAGCACAAGTAGTACCCATCGAAATTCCAATTTTGAAGGAAGACTTCGTCTTCGAAGACTGCAAAAAAGGTAACGATTAGGAACTCCAGCTTCCTTTTTATATCAACTTCAAGATACTTTTAAGTAAAATCTTTTTTAACAAATTGGTGATTTTTAACACAGTGATTTTCGTTGATGACCTATCACAAGATACGAAAATATCCGAGTTCTATTTTTATTGAGAAAGCAGTTGTCTATGATGTAAAACTGTATAGATTTGAATTTTTCGCGAGGAATGCTTGTTAAGATTGTATAAAAGTTGTGAGTTTTGATGTTATTGACTATTGAAAAAAATGGTATTTTCAAATTTTCTAAATGGGGGGGGGGGACGAAAGCATCTCTAGCCCCCCCCCCAACGTTCCAGAGGCCTGTGGATTAAATCACAGTTGTGAAAAAAAAAGTCATAAACATGCGTTTTTATGCAATTGAATTTAGAATCACGGTGTAATGATCAAACTTCCAAGATCCGGCTCAATTTCAACGGACTAGGGTCTAAATTCAACACCTTTGGTCTCAGTATTCAACGTTGAAAATGGCCCCCGGGTCAAATATCAACGTAACACCGAAGTAAGCATCTCTTGTCGAACAAGTTCCTTTTATCTAAATCTTACAGTCGGAGTAGTCAGTTTATTTTCTCTTACTATTCCCTTACTAATGAAGCAATATACCTTCATCACCTGCATACGGTGTTTATATTTCTCATTTGATTTGATACGGAAGAGCATGCTGTACGCATGAACATTTTTAAAGCGAGGTAAGTTATTGACAAACAAGTTGTTGAAAGAAGAATATCATCAGTCTCGTTTGAAGTTATCATTTTATGGTTGTTACAATGCCCTTGTCAGCAAATACAATTTATTATTTATCATTTAGTCAAATGCTGACTGACTTTTTTCATACTTATTGTTAGGCGATTATTTACACACTGAATTGTTGACGATTTTCCTGTTATATTCAAATGATGACATGGAGAACATATGGCAGGTGTGACCGGTCGACAGCGGTTACTTACTGCTCCATGGCACTTGATCCTACCTCAGATGATTTTGATCCGTATTTGCTCTCATATCGTATTTTGTATTCTTTAATAGACTTTGAGCTTGAACACTGTTCGTTATCTCCATATTACTCAAGTCGGAAATTAAAACAAGTATATTTGGAAGACCATAGAATTTACAAAATGTTGACTTTAAGGAGATCGTCGATACCATTTTGTCACTTGATAATGAATTGAATATTTCCTTTTCAAATTTGCATTTCGTTTGCAAGTAAAGAATAAAATTTCAGTTGCCAGGTTCCTGTGATTTAAGTTTACATGTACAAAAATATACTGAAAGGAAAAAGATGTGCATAAGAACATAATGTAGGAAAATTTTTTGACTATGTGGCCGAATATTATGCCAATTGGTCAGATGTATTTTGGTTACTTTGCACTAAAACCGCTAGTCAAAACTACTCAACCATGAAATGTATGGCGTCACGTAGGGGAAATGATAAAAAGTCAAAAACACGTGCATGTTGATGATGATAATTTTGTGATAAAATTTTGTAGTGCCATAGGCTGCATTAGAGTTATAGACATCGTTTTTGCATATTTGTAGTCAGTATAAATTTCTTGCAATCGTGGTATGGCTGACGGAAGCTACTGTGGGTTTAGTAATCGAATTCAATATTGCATAAGTGAATAAAAAGGCAAAAACATGCTGCTGTACAGATTGTTTTCAACTTTTCAACCAAATAAAAGTTTTTTTGGTTGTCAGAGAGTTAACTTAAAATGTTTCCAACCAACCATGACGGTGACGTTGGCGCGTAACAATGTCTCAACAAGATAGGACTTTTCATCATGCCACCTCGGTTGTTGTCAAGGCATTATCATTCAAACTGATATTTATACAGCAGACAATCATATTCATTTTTTTCACCCTAAATTGGCAGAAACTCTCTGCTCTAATTTGGGCCGCGAGCTTGGCCACTTTACGTCGATTTTACTTTCAAACGCGCACGTACACGTCGTTTGCCTGATTTTTTTTAGCATGTTTACACTGGAAAAATATAGCTAGTGTTTGTTGAGACTTTTTTTACAAACATTCACGTGTACCAAACCTGCTGGGTTCTGTACATTCTAACCTAAATCGAAAATTCGTGGAATTCATTGATCGGGGGGATTTGTTAGCTTTGGAATAATATAGCTACTCTCATTAAGACTACCGTCGGAAGGGTTGAATAATAATCCAATGAAAAAGATAAATGCTCTGGTGAACTCATTGCACAGGAAAATCAAGTTTGATGCAAAAGGGAGATTATGACAATTTTTAGTTTTATTTTTGGGGGTGTCGACATATTGATATCAATATCTCAGGAATTATCGCTCAAAATCACACAAAAGTTTGGGAACTTGATGATTAGAGATGAATTAAAAATTTAAAATGTATAATAACAATGCTGGAAAACAGTTGAAATAATTGTTTTAATTTAACTCAAAAGTTTAATATGCGTTTCTTTATCCTTTCAGTATATTTAACTCACCTGTGACATTAACTGACATGCATCGAAGTTTGGTGGAGCGCCTGCAAGTATGAATATTATTTTTTTAGAATATTTCATTCAAAAGTATTTTCTTGTGTAAAGATAAAGAAATATATAGAACACACTGAATATCCATCTTAAAAATTCATTTTATACACTTAACAAAACTTCTAAGTTTTCACTTTAATAAAATGATACATTTATTTAAAAACTACTGTTTAGGATGGTATGATATTTTCAAATTATTACAACAAATGAGTCTTCTCAACAATTGTTGAAAGAAAATAAAATATCACCGATGAGAACCAATGTTCCGTGATGAAGCTTAAAAACAATAAATCTGTACTTTGCGGCACATGCTTTGTGTAATTAGCATCTTTTTGTGATCATTATCAAATTTTAAAAACTGGTTTCACTAAAAACACAAAACAGTGGCAAAATGACCACTGAGATAGAAGGAAGAGCCGTTGGAATGTTTATATCTGGAATATTCTTGCACAACGTTTTACTCACTTTTATTTTTATGTTTAATTGTATCACACTTTTCTATAAGGTTAACGTCATTTTTCATCACCAGTTTATCACAATTTTACGGTGGTATATTTAGGACACGCAATTATTTTTTTTTAAATACCAGAAAAAGTTATCTTGTGAAAACGACATAATTATCTTGTGAAAACGAGATATTATCTTGTGAAAACGAGATATTATCTTGTGAAAACAAGATAATATCTTGTGAAAACGAGAAATTATCTTGTGAAAACGAGATATTATCTTGTGAAAACGAGATAATATCTTGTGAAAAAGAGAAATTATCTTGTGAAAACGAGATATTATCTTGTGAAAACGAGATAATATCTTGTGAAAACGACTTATTATCTTGTGAAAACGAGATATTATCTTGTGAAAACGACATAATATCTTGTGAAAACGACTTATTATCTTGTGAAAACGAGATAATATCTTGTGAAAACGACTTATTATCTTGTGAATGCGAGATAATATCTTGTGAAAACGAGAAATTATAATATAATAAGTCGTTTTCACAAGATAATATCTCGTTTTCACAAGATAATATCTCGTTTTCACAAGATAATATCTCGTTTTCACAAGATATTATGTCGTTTTCACAAGATAATATCTCGTTTTCACAATAAAATATGTCGTTTTCACAAGATAATAAGTCGTTTTCACAAGATAATATCTCGTTTTCACAAGATATTATGTCGTTTTCACAAGATAATATGTCGTTTTCACAAGATAATAAGTCGTTTTCACAAGATAATATCTCGTTTTCACAAGATATCTCGTTTTCACAAGATATTATGTCGTTTTCACAAGATAATATCTCGTTTTCACAAGATATTATGTCGTTTTCACAAGATAATATCTCGTTTTCACAAGATAATATCTCGTTTTCACAAGATAATAAGTCGTTTTCACAAGATATTATCTCGTTTTCACAAGATATTATGTCGTTTTCACAAGATAATATCTTGTTTTCACAAGATAATATCTCGTTTTCACAAGATATTATGTCGTTTTCACAAGATAATATCTCGTTTTCACAAGATAATAAGTCGTTTTCACAAGATCTTGTTTTAAGTATCTCGTTTTCACAAGATAATATCTCGTTTTCACAAGATATTATCTCGTTTTCACAAGATAATAAGTCGTTTTCACAAGATATTATCTCGTTTTCACAAGATATTATCTCGTTTTCACAAGATATTATCTCGTTTTCACAAGATAATATCTCGTTTTCACAAGATATTATGTCGTTTTCACAAGATATTATCTCGTTTTCACAAGATAATAAGTCGTTTTCACAAGATAATATCTCGTTTTCACAAGATAATTATGTCGTTTTCACACGATAATTTTTTTCTGGTATTTAAAAAAAAATAATTGTGTGTCCTAAATATACCACCGTACAATTTGAAAGTTTTGGACAAAATTTAACCAAACCGGAAGTGGCCTTGATCTTCGTCTAAGGCCAAAATTTCGCGTCACACCAGGTTAAAAGAGTGCTAAATTGTTCTGAAACAATCTTAGAAACATGAAAACAAACAATTTCAATCGTATGAAAATGATAAGAAATCGGTGCTCGTGACAGTCAAATATCAGCTCAAGCAGCCTATTCAGGGGTACATGGTATCCAACAGTAAAGATTGTCTTATAGTAGTTAGAGCGAGTGGTGGTATTACTCCATAGAGAATTTTTGTGTGAATTTTCATTTTGAGGGTACGTCAATTCCTTTACACTTTGCTTAAAATTCTGACGAGATACTTACATTAAATTTACGCAACATCGAACTTAAATATGCATCATTAACCATGAATTAAAGAAATTATTTATTATATGCATTTGTTCTTTAAAACTTAAAAAATGTTAGGTGAACACTTAGAAGTTTGGTTCAGTGTATATTACATAATATACTATAACAAAACAAACAAACAAATTTAGGTGAAACTAGTTTTGTTTATGGAACACTGTGCATTGGCGGCAACAAAGTTCGAAAAAGCTATGTATATAAGTCAAAGTCATGGTCACAAGATCATTGACCTTTGTGTCAGATGAAATAACTTAATTAGTGGATCCGGAGTATCCATACTAAGTATTAATTCTGTATATCTCATGGTTTAAAAATTATGGCGAATGTTCAAAAAGGCTGTTTTTAACATTTATGTAACTGTGAAGGTCACGAAGTCATTTATCTTGGTGCCATTTGAAAGACACTAACAATTAGTATGAAAGATAGTGCGCATACCAAATATGAAGTCTATCTCTCATTTCATGGTTGACAATTTATGACGAAGGTTAAAGTTGACAGAACGAAATCAATATCATGAATAGCCCCCCGATCTATCGATCCGGGCGAATAAAAATGAAAACGAATAAATTGTGTTTACCGATAATTTGACTCTGCTGAAAAACACAAGTTGTACAGTCCGATTTCATTCTCTGAAGTTTCTGCCAGTAAAATAGTGGTTTCATATTCGTCAGCCATGGGATTAGAGATGTTAGACATCGTAAAATTCAGTGGTGATAAAATATGAAATTTAGTAATGCTGCAAAAGAAAAACAATTAAATATTAACATTGCTTGATTCAAAAATCAGCATCATGTCGACCATTAGATAAAATGTAATGAGGAAAATTTAAATATAGTGCAGTTAAATTGTGAAGTAAAATATAGACATTGCATAAATATTCATCTGGATTTTTTGTTTTTTATGTTTTTGTGCCGCTTTATAAAGTAAAATAATTCCTATCTTAATTTTATTTATTGATTCCCTGTGTTTTGATTGGACGAGAACAAATTCAAGAAAAAGTTTACACATCGATGAATTTTTCAATCAGCTTCTAGGCTGTTGTAAAAACAATGAAAACAGATACTTCTAGTCCGTTTTAGCTAAATTATGATTACAAGAAACTTGAAATAAAAAAGCAAAACAGGAGATAAACAGGACTGATAGACGGGAATATTATGTTTATGTCACTGTCGGATCACGAGTGTGAATTTAAAAAAATCGCTGATCATGCTGTCATTTTCTCGACGTTCCATATCGATCAGCTCAGATGGTATCGTTGTGATAGGGATAAGAAACTTACCTCAGACTCTTGCCTTATTAGCATCAAATTCATATAAAATTATTTACATTCTACAGTGTTTACGATATTTGCTGACTTAAACAACATTCATTGAGTTTTTATAGTTTATTTATTAATTGTTTTGACAATTTAAGTTGGATTTTATCGTTATTCATCTTGTATACGTTTCTTTGCGGCATAAAATATTCCTACGCCATACAAAATAACGGATTGTATGGCGGCCTCAAAGAGAAATAATTTTGATAATTTTAAAAAGTCGTAATTGGAATTATAAGAATTAAACGTTCATTTTTTCAGAATTTATCGATGTGTAAACTCTGCCTTTTTACTCACAAACTTTACATAAAAGTGCTTCACACTTTTATTCAGTTTGTGAGTAAAAATGCAGAGTTTACACATCGATAAATTCTGAAAAAAGAACGTTTAATCCTATAGTAACACTTTACATGTCAAGCCGCCTTTAAATTAAAACGTCTAAGCTTTAGAAATTGAGTTATCCTGCTTTAAATATGGTGTGTTTTTTAAGTACAGGTAAGTAATTTCTAAAGTTTAAATCTAATATTTAATCTAGTTTCCAAATTTAATCATAATATTGATATACACAATGCATGTATTCTTTGATCCATGAGAGGTTAGTCCAAGTGACTTCTTGTCATGTTATATGGAAAAACATACCAGTAATTCTGTCACTTAACATTTACATATGGCTACTATTCAATTATACTTGTAAAGATTAGTTTCACATAATTATATCTTTTGAATATATTGATTGGTAGAACTTTCATTATTAATAGTTTTTTTTCATGTTTATCTCTTAATGATTTGTATTCCTTTAACAAAGAATCTCTTTTACGAAAATCAGTGATAGTATGTAACATTTTTTTTTAGTTTAACTCAGCAAGACTGGGTTCTCCATAAACTTAACAGTGTTGCTATAATTACACAAAGCATTTTATCTGATTTTTATCTGGATCAAACTTGGTAGATGATGTACAAATTGGCCGAGATGTTCCGCATAATTATACATATACTATAAATGCATAGGAATAAAATATGTTTGAATAAGTAAACTTACATTTCAGGTCTATCATAAACTATGACTGTTGGTTTAATCTGCTGTTGTATGCCATTGAAAAATTGTATTACACTTCCCTCTGGATAAGTATTGGACTTGAAATATGGATCGATGTAACATGATCCACTAGAATTTACTGTAACAATGAACTGCAAAGGAATGCTACTTAGGGCAGTTGATGATAATATACTCGTGAAATCCTCTATCTGTACTGCTACAACATAGTCTCCATCAGGCATCAATCCAGTTGTCAAAGCGCACGATGTCTGCGAAATTAATTAGAAATAAAATGTGTAATTATTTGAACAAGTATGAAAAGGAAAGGCATTAAAGATGATGGTAAATTGAACATAATTTTATATTGACAGAAGCAGCAAAGACAAACATAGAGCTAGAACTCCATATTCATTTGACATAGATTTAAAGGTGCATGGACACAGATTTGAAGTTATAGTATTTTCTCAAATTTTCATTGTATCATGACTTGTATGTTTCTATATGATAGCATTTCGAATGCAAATACATGTATAGCACAAAACTTATTTTATCTTTAAATTACTGACACTTGTTTTTATTTAAATGTTTAAATAAAAAAAAGGCTTTAATGGTAAGCAAACAACAATGCAAACATGCTGACTTTTAACTTATCAATCGTCAACGTTCCTTATCTGTATCAACATACTAGTGTCCCAGCTGCATACGGAGTTTTGGTCTCTCGATAGACACACAATAGCATGCTGTATGACCAATTTCTAAAAGAATGTAAGCTATTGACAAAGAAGTTGATAAACATGTTTTATACAAATTGTTAGGCTGAATTGTCTTTGGATTTTCCGTTTTTCCCGTTCATGACAAGGATGTGAACGGTCGGCAGGAAATGCTCACTACTCCATGACACCTCTCTCCAACAGGAAGAAATACGACCTTTCAGTTAAAACTAAATTAAAGGCAGCGTTCAGTGGCCACCCAGACACTGAATGGCGGGTACATTTCAGCGATCGTTTAGTTACCTTCAGCCACAGTTCAGGTAACTTTTAGTCACTATATCTTTTATTGACCTTTCCGTCGTCTTTCAATCGCTTTTTAGTATTTTTTCAGTCGACTCAGTAACCTTCTGTCGCATTTCAAATTTCCTCTTAACGTGTTTGTGTTTTCTTATTGTCATAAAATTCGGGTAAATAGAACTTTACTGAGGATCAATCACAAGATGTGAAAACTTCTGAGTTCTCTTTTAATAGGACCATTCGAATTAAAAAAAAAAGAAAAAAAAACAAGCTCACAATACCATTAACCCTTCTAGCTAGCCCGGTTAGATAAACGTCTAAAGCGTCTAAAACTTTTAAAAATGTTACATATAAATTAAGATAAAGAATTACGATAAGTAAAAACTCGGACAATAAACTGATTTATTGATAAAATGGAATTCCTTTTATAACGATATTCTGTTTTGTTGTTATTTTTTATTTATTCCTTTTGGAATTAAACATTGTTATAGTTTTGAATATAACTTTTCAAATGTCTTGATTGTATCGGTATAATAAAACAGTTGAAGTATATATACGCAAGCGCCTCGGGAAATAGACATGCTCTTGGGGAACTGGAATCTTGCTGACTCCCTCAATGATATACTTTAACTGTATATTGAACATCCGTCCAACAATAATGCTTGGTTACAATGAACATTTATATAATAATATTTACATTCGCTGTGTTTTACTACTAAGCCAACTGTGAAATTGATTTGAAAATCATTTTCGTGTGTACTCACGCGTAGAAATATACACGGAGAAACGTGCGTTACCGTGACGTCACAATAGGGCTACAGCGATGTTAGTAAAAGTCTAACAATATAGGGCAGCGAGAAATTCATATATTGAGTATATTTTCGGTGCTTCCAAACATGTAAAATGTAAATATAAGGAATGTTTTTAAGTTTAGTGTGAATTATTGGTGTGAGAATCACACAGACTTGCACGTAGGCATATTTTTCATGAAGCGCTAGCGCACTTCATGAAATATGCCTACGTGACAAGTCTGTGTGATTCACACACCAATAACTCACACAAAACTTAAAAACATTCCTTAAGTTCATGAATATATACATCAACCTGTTAGTTTTAAGGTGTCAATTTTTCATGATAAGATTTTCTGGAGGAAAACAGATAGTGAGATATAAAATTAAATTTTATATGTATGTAAGGAATTTCTGAACTACAAACTAAAAAAAAAAACAATTTTACGACGAACAAACATACTCATGCTTACATTCATCAGAGAAAAATATTTCTTTTCATATTTATTAATTTACTGTTGACTCTCACTATTTGTAAAATAAATAGAAATGCGTACTTTAAGTTTGAAATATTAACCTACTCACCCCTATAAATGAGAAATAAGTGCTAGTTGAGTTACATATATCACCACACTCTTCTGTCGTAATAGGAAACCGGCAACGTATGTAGTCTCCATCAAAATCCACCACTTGAAAAAAAAAACACGACGTTTATTTTTATATCAAAGATGCATGCAATACCTTGCCAAAATAATGGGTAATACAGCTAATCAAATGGGGAATAGTGAATGAATTTTAAAAGGAATCACTGTTTAGTTTGAGTACGCCAGGTCATCAACGAATGTTGGAAACGTGGTATAATTTGCTTATTACAGTTGAAGTCCATTATGTATGAATTATCCCACATTTCCAACTATTGTTTGTTTCCCTGACATACTGTTATAACTAGACAGTGTAATTATATTTTCACTTCATTATGAAATTAAATTGTAAATTTTATTTCAAAAATGCAAACTAATAGATTTAAATTACACGAGGCCTCCCAATAACCAATAGTCCCTGTCCACCGACGTCAAACAAAAAGAAAGCTGCACGAGATTTTCATACATATTAGGCATCTATACCTCATGCATATTAGGCATCTTTAGCTCCTGGCCTATCTCTATGGGAACAAAAACTAACCAGAAGTCTCTGTCGAGACTGTAACTCTACTGGTTTGTACTTATAACAGCGGATGAGAAAAGAAGACATTGCCATCAGACCAAAACTGTAGGAGGAGTAGCGATTTAAAGGAATTTCACAGAAAATTCTATTTTGAGAAACCATGGCAACACCGTTCATCAAAATAAAAAACTGATGCACTAAAATATGTATCACAGTGTAGTCTTCTTGTGTGCCAAGTTATACTGAAATCAGACTAAAACTGTAGCAGGAGGAGCGTTTTAAAGGAATTTTACAGAAATTTCTATTTTTAGTAACCACGGCAACACCGTTCATAGAAATCAAAAACTGATATACGGAATTATGTATCTTAGTGTAGTCTACTTGTATGCCAAGTTATGTTGAAATCAGATCAAAACTGTAGGAGGAGTAGCATTTTAAAAGTATTTTACAAAAATTTTATTTTTAGTAACCACGGCAACACCGTTCATCGAAATTAAAAACCGATATACAGAATTATGTATCTTAGTGTAGTCTACTTGTGTGTGAAGTTATATTGAAATCAGACCAAAACTGTAGGAGGAGTAGCATTTTAAAAAAAATTCTATTTTTAGTAACCACGGCAACAACGTTCATTGAAATTAAAAACCGATACACAGAATTATGTATCTTAGTGTAGTCTACTTGTGTGCCAAGTTATATTGAAATCAGACCAACACTGTAGGAGGAGTAGCATTTTGAAAAATTGTTTACAGACAGACAGACGGACAGGCAGACAGCTAGACGGACGGACGACGGACGCATTACTATCGCATAAGCTCTTCTGGTCTTTGACCAGTAGAGCTAAAAATCAGACAATGAAGAGTAAATGAGTTTTGGGGATAAACAGAAAGTAAATGTTTTGTCACACTAACAATATTTGCGAGAAATTTCAACCTTTGACTTGTTTTATTCCCCACTCTTGAAAAACACACCTTTCAGAAAGAAAAAAGTACAGGTAATCATAGGATCTGCCATATTCTGGGGACAGTATACGAAGGGTCATACTAAGAGTTAGCTGCAGATCTGTAGCTCTCCGAAAAATATATATTGATAGACCGGAGAGCTACAGAGCCACCCATTGAAAAAACTGTATATTTATTGCGCACAAAAAAATGCGCTCGGTTCTTGATTAATTCTTCCAAATTCTTACCTCAATTGCAAAAAATGGAAGATTTCAAAAAATTTCTCTCTCCTCTATCAAGTACTCTCGTAGTTGACATCTGAACGAAGTATATTAGACCGAATTATCTTTGAAACCAAACTGGCAGTATAAATAAGCGAAATGTTCAATGATTGCAATATCAGGACCAGGAGGACCATTAACAACAATTATGAGGAATTTTTTGTTGTGGAAAGATTTAAAGAATATGTTAGGAACACACGGTTAGTAATATTTTGAGATTACAGTTTTAAAAACATGGAGAAATGAATCTAGAACCGAGCGCACTTTTTTGTGTGCAATAAATATACAGTTTTTTCAATGGGTGGATCTGTAGCTCTCCGGCCTATCAATAAATATATATTTTCGGAGAGCTACAGATCTGCAGCTAACTCAAAAGTGTGTTCTTAAAACAATTTGAAAAACAAAAATGTAACAGATACATGTATGTGTTTTAAATCAAAGAGAATATTTTATTAAATCATTAAGACTAAATCATAGAAAAGCGTTTTTTTTGTTTCTTTCCGAGCACCGATGAATCTAAATCTATGAATTTGATATACATCATTTAAAATTATCTACCTTTATTTTGAGTGTATGGGTCTGAAATAAAATGATATTGAAGTATCGTAATTTCTAATACCTGGTATTTCTATGTTTGCTATGCCACACGAGCTTCGAATTTTGACAGATGAAGCCATCACTGAAACAGGAGATTGGTTGATCCTTCCTGTATCCGTTCTTGTGGAAACGTTTACTTTAATTCGTAAGCTCGAAATGCTTGAAGCGTTCACTAGACTTATCCAATCTCCTGTATATCTGCAAAGACGTCGAACTGCATACATGTAGTTGAAACTAAAATAATTTCCTTTGCACTAAATTATATAATTGTGGACTGTTTAGAAGGGAGACATCAGCAATCAGCAGGTCTGAGTAGGGTTGTAACTCGAAGGCGCTTCTTAGAGCTGATATATATATTTATTTATGGAAACACATTTTTAAAAAAAAAATTATATGTAACTCGGAGATATATGCTACTATGTTTGTCATCCCTCCTTTACGAGTAAGTTATTACAGAGAATGTAATAGTCCGCGAAGCGACTTATAAAACAGCGTAAACTGACCCAAACCAGGATGTACTCGAATAATTAGGCCAAGAATAAGAGCTATTCCTTATAATTTTATTCTAAAATCAATTAACAGCTGTGAGTGTAAAATTCCGTTGCATTTATTGGTTAAAGTATGCCTCCCAATTATACAGCCGTAGTAACATCAAAGTACTGAAAGTACTGGGAAGCGCTAAGCATATTGATTTGAAATTCATCAGAATTATTTTGAATTTAAATTTCCTGTTTTATTGAATTTTAAGCAATATGTTGACAGTGCGACAGCGCTTGGGGGAGCACGGTTGGCTGGTACATAATCAAACATGTTAGTCCTGAAAACTTCCCGTTGGATTATGAAATTCAACATTGTCTTGGGTTTTTTTTTTCTGTCAAAAAATATTTCAATATAACATACATGAAATTGCAAGAAGATAAATCTCCGTGTAAAAATATTTTCTTTTCCAATTGCCTTGTTGGAATCTATTAGAGGTAATATTTGCGTATAAATTGCTATTTATTGGAAGGGAGATGGTAATCGAGTTTTCCGATGAAACTTAGAGTTTAAATGTAGCGATACAAATGCTGGAAAATGTATATTTTGAAATAAATTTGAACACTTAATGGAAAATGTCGCTAAAATTCCTTTCATTTGTGTTTAACACTGAAAGCTAAAATCCTCTTGTGATCATTTTTAATCACAAATTCATTCCTCGTTTACGAGTGTTTCAAATTGAAGATTGGCATCATGTTTGTAACATCGTCATGTGACAAAACTCTGTGTAGATGAAATGAGCATCCTAGAATTAACGCCCTTTTTGTCAGATACATTTAATAGGTAAATTAACATTTGAGTATAAAACTATTATATTAAACTTTCGACGATATCCTTTTATCTCTGATTCTCAAATACATGATTTATGGCATATTTGCAGTAACATTTGTGTTGATATCACAGTATGTTTTACTTATTTGTAAATATTACTTTTTTTACAATAAAAAAATGTACACTTTTCTTCTTTGGAATAAAAAAAATCATTAAACCCCCCAAAGCATTTTGACTATTGTTAAAATAATTTAAAATGCTTCAACATTTTTGCTACGGACGCTTGAAGCTTTACACCATTCTTTACTTGTGTATTTATGATCTTCATTACCATGCAAAACATGCTGAGAGGAGAAACATATCTAGGACATTGTTGTGCTAGTTAAAAAGGAATACGGAAAATAATTGCTCATTATTTTTCTGCTTTTTCAATGAAAACTAATTCAAGAGACCAAGAAAGAAAATATATGCAAGTATTAATCTCAAGTATTAATAAATCTTCATGAAGATATACAACATTGTTTTATTCTGTTTTTATTGAGTCTTCATTAAGAATCGGCAACACAGCTTAAGTACATTTTTACATAAACTATTTCTTCCTTATAGTTTCTTACTTCAAGTATATATTAAACTTTTTGCTTAACATTACATTAGCCCTATCCCTGTCCATTGCGAAGAACGTTAATTAAGGTTTTAGCATTTTTCGCCATATCCTGCACACTACACACACAATTCTAAAGCACAATATTCCGAGAAATAAGTTTTACTATTTGAATGGATTCGTTGAAAACACAACCACCACATGCCCTACATGTGTGTACAACCACAGAAACTGCCTTTCCTTTCGAATTATTTACATAATATGTTTTACTCATATGATGCAAGTATAGAGTACAAGTAAACACAAGTAAAGACATTAAAAAGACAGTCCATGAATGCATTGCAGTCTGTTACTAATTATCGGCCGCAGCAGCGGCCGATCTATTTGTGATTGTGTTAGAAAGTGCACATGGGGAAATGAGACGTTATTTTTCATTAGGTCAGGAAAATATTTCTCAAATGATAACAAGTAGAAAACCATGAGTAAAATATTTTCAAAAATTGCTTTGAATACAGTGTTAATTGTTGCTACTATGTTTCAATTTCTTTATCATTTCTCATCAGATAATTGATAATTTATGGTTATGTAAAAAGAGTTAACAATAGATACTCCCCAGCCTGGGAGTGTATAAGATATGAAAGGAAATCGTCATGATTTTCCGGATAAAAATGACGTGTAAATGTGCATGGGTTGGTGAATAAAAATTGAAAAAAATTTCAACCAGTAAAAATTGTTTTGAACATGCTCTACGGCTGCAAATAACACAAAGACATTTTTCTACATTTTGTACTGCGCCTTGCAGCACAGCCATGGGCATTATCACGTGACCAAGATCCAGGGTATCAGCACCTGGTTCATCTTGAGATACCACAGGCACCTGACGTTACTTATTTTTCTTTTAATAAAAAAATATACACATACCGAATAATATTCGGTATGTGTATATTTTTTTTATTAAAAGAAATATAAGTAACGTCAGGTGCCTGTGTGAGATACCTACATCTTTATTTTGATGACAATAAATTCTTATCATTTATTGCTGCCCTTTTTACATCGATGAATCTATTTATAAGCAAATGGGGTAAATGTCTATTTTTTTTTTAAAATTTTAATTAATTATTTATTTTGCTTTGAAGACAGCCTAAAATAAAAATGAATCAACTATTTCACCTTTGAATACTAGTATCTTGACGTGCTTTCCTTTCATGGACACTTTGAAATTGTAAAAGAAATTTGTTTATGCTAAATTTTGTTTGCGGCCGATTTGATGCTTTGCATCAATTTAACTTGTTGATACTTAGATGCGAAAATCAACTTCACTGATAGCTCTCAGCATGGTGCAAGGTGTTAAAGGAAGGCTTGTTTTAGTTACAATGCCTGAAGTAAGGGTCTAGAAGGAAAAAAAATAGTTTATATGGATATAAGTTATAAAGAACGTACCATATTATGTAAGTAGCACATTGTTAATCATTTTTCAAAATACTGAATACTAGTTACTCACTTCCAGTTTGAGATTTACAGCTGTATAAAACTTAATTATTAAAATCCCATCTGAGTTTTAAATTAAGTACTTATTCAATCACTATATTACATGTACATGATTAATAATATACTGCTTTTAATTGTGTATTTGCGCAATAGATGCAGCAATTATTAGCTACATGATACAAAAGTAATGTGTGCCGACATGATTTAAATGAACTACAATATATAGAGAAGAGCATGATAAGAACTGCTTTTATCTACTAACTGTGGAATATCCCTTTACCTTACTAATTGCTTCCTAATATTAGAAATACACGTAACGCAGCAGTACACTAAAATAGCAGGAAGAGAGTCAGGGATTTCCTGTTGCATATTTTTAGAATAACAAGAGGAGTTATCTAACTTGCTTATAGTGGCGCTAGTTGGCGAACGGAAGTAGATTTACGCTGACAGAAAGTGCTTTGCGCTGCGCTTAGCGCTTAAAAAGTGATGGGAAGCTAGAGGAGATAAAAATTAAAACATAGGCCAAGCAGTTGTGTTGTTTGTTTACACTTTTTAAAAGATCAAGTTACTGTTTGAAGTTATAGATACATATATAAAATCTGGAGCTTTTCATGAACCCCTAGGACTTAATTGATTAAGTAATTGATTTTATGTTGTTTAACATCCCTCTCGAGAATTTTTCACTTATACCACTTGCCGGTTGAGAGCTTCAAATGTTGTCCTATACTCGGCACTCAGGGCCATTGAGCAGGGAGGAATCTCTTTCGTGCAAGCACCTACTGCGACACGGGACCTCAGTTTATACGGTCTCATCCAAAAGAGCCGGTGTTAACGTCCGAAGGTGGGATTCGAACCCGCGACATAAGGATCAACTCCTTCAACACTCTAGAGCTGACGATCTAACCACTGCGCCACGCGGGCTACCCTTGGGACTGGAAATGAGAGGATTGGATGGATACAGATGATTTAGGTGGTTTTCAGGGGTGTGTCCCCATACCAAACCAGGTTATAAGAAGTACTATAGTTCCTCTTTGGATATTAACCTATCAGAGGCTGGAATGCCAAAAAAATTAATTTACGACAATAACGGCCTCAGGCAGACAGATTGGTTCTTGGGTACGAAAAAAAAAGCATGTTGCCATCGAAATCAGTCAATAAATTTATAATATTAATGCATGAACTAAGTTGATCTGTATAATTGGTTCATTTATTCTAAAAATACCTTCACATACCCAATAAAGTATACATTTGTTGATGTTGAATTTGTGATTGTAAAATTGGTGTCTCCTTCACTATCAGCCCAGTTTTCAGTGGAATTAGACTCTGTACACAGCCCTATCATTGTTGTACTATCATTACATCCACCTCCTGGGAAACATATCAGAGTGGCACTCGAATTTCTATTCGGACAACTGTCATTATACACAAATGACAGACGGTGATGAACTGTTATCTGTAATAAAAAACCCATTGTATTACAAAGACTTATAATACCTGTAGTACTTGTTTCAATAATTATTATTGTTAAGCAATTTGAAATCAAGTTACCTGTGTCTCATTAATAGCTTTCCAAGACAATAAACCGCCACGAAAATGGTTTAACTTCACGAATGGTGCCGCAAGCAAAACAAGGACTGAACACTTGTACAGAAGCATCATATAATTAATACCTTGTTAAATATCATCTTCTTATTTTGTATAAAATACTGCATTTTTTGGCGTTAAATTACTTGATATACCCTTGTCACTTCCTCGTCCATGGTCTATCAGAATTGATTTTAAATTGTGGTTACTAAAACGATTAGGTTGATGTTCAACAGACCCTGGAATAATACCCTTGTCTAAGTATATTAAAACTTTATCGATAGAACTGTCAGGATAAGACAAAAAAGCCCAATGCATTGACAAATTTCCAAATTTTGATTCTTCATGCGTTTTGTGCCTAGTGTGTATATTAAATGTACAATTACTTGTCTTTAATTAATAGTTCTTTTGAAATAATATGCCAAACCTCGTATTGTTAACTTTTTCGTGCCTATTGAATAACAAATAAAAAACAACAACACCCAAGGTATAAATAACAAGATTTCAATTTCCACATCCCGAAATAGGTCTTAGATTCGTCTGATGCTTTTTTTATATACTGAAAGGAAAAAGAAACGCAGAGTAGCATAATATTCGAAATTTTTTTTGATCGCATGACTGAAAATTACTAAAACTGGTCAGATAAGGAATTTAATTATTAGCTTAAAAGCACCAAAATCCGTGTTCAGAATTATTCAACCGTTAAATGTATGACGTCATGTAGGAAAAGCGCTAAAATGCCCAAAACACGTGCAATTTGATGATGACGAGTTTGTCAACAAATCTTGTTGTACCATTTGATGCACCTGAGGTATACACATTGTTTTTCAATTTTTAGAGACGATATGAATTTCTTGCAATCTTGGTACAGTTTACGGAAGTTCATTGGGGTCTGGTTTTCGAATTGCCTATTTAATGAAAAAGGTAACAACGGATAACTAAGCAGTTTCTTGTTAATTTCCCCCATAAAACTTGTTACCCTTTGTCAGAGAGGGCCTGGAACGGTTTTTTAATCAACTGTGACGATGACGTTAACGCGAAACAGAGTTATGTTACGGGCGGGTTATTCGTCCTGCCACCTCTTAAATCGCAACCCTACTATCACAAAAACCGCCTACAGTAGACTATTATAATCATTACATTCACACGAAAAATGAAAGAAAAAAATTCCGCAATTTGGTTTTTTGAGCCAGTCAACTTATGCCTATGTCACATTTAAGCCGATGGTCGGGCGACTAAAGAACCACGAACGATAGTATTGTTCTCCCGCCTACCTCTAAGTCAATTTTCAAAAGTTGACATATTCGAATGATTTTCGAAATTTTTATAGATATTTATATGAATTTTCATAAAACGTTTCTTATTTTGGATACCAAAGAGAGATAACTCTATAATTTTGGTTAAACTTGTGTTTTTCACTATATAAATCAACGGAAAACGGAAAATATTTTTAAAACATCTTTCCCCCCGTGAAACAAAAATTCCTTTTCACAGATAATATGAACTGTCATTTAACAAATTCATGCCAAAGCTTTTTGTGTTTCACGGGGGGGAACATATGTTTATAGACAAAAAACGAACAAAATGCTGATTTTTCACAAATTTTAAAGCTATTTACAACTAAATAATTGTATTTTATTTATTTATATATGTTTTATTTATTTACGTAAAACATATAAACAGAAGAAAAGATATGAGATACATTTTCTGATACATGTATTTAAAACTATTTCAAAATATGGTGATGCTTGAAAGTTCGATTTCACCAGAAAATATCGCCTACCCCCCTTTTTTTCAAGAGCTGGAATTAATGATAATTTACTATCTAGCGCTGGAAATAGAATGATTAATTAATTACCATAGACCTGATCTTTGTATTAAACAAAGATTTAATGGCTAAATTGCCATTAAAATTGAATTTAATGGATGCAAAATGTAGGCGGGAATCAAGAGTTAGAGTTCGTACTTCTTTTTCTTGTCTTGTCGGCTGTAAGAACATGATCGGTCGACACAAGTTCCGCCGACACGGAGCAGTCACATTAATTCCCAGGAACACCGATGACTTGGATAAATAACACAACAAATCTTTTTTGTCCCCCGCTTGAAAAGTGGGGGATATTAATTTGGGTTTGTCCGTCCGTCCGTCCGTCTGTCCGTCCGTCCCTCCGTCCGTCCGTCTTTCTGTCTGTCTGTAACGCTTTCGTTTCCACACGATATCTCGAGAACCCTTTGAGCTTTTGCAATGAAATTTAGCATAGCAACTCCCTGTGGCCTAAGGAAGACCCCTATTGATTTTGAGGTCAAAAGGTCAAAGGTCAAGGTCATAAGTAAGCAAATTCTGTCTGTTATAACACTTTCGTTTCCACACGATATCTCTAGAACCATTTGAGCTATTGCAATGAAATTTTACGTAACAACTCCCTGTGGCCTACGGAAGACCCCTATTGATTTTGAGATCAAAAGGTCAAAGTTCAAGGTCGTAAATTTATACATTCTGTCTGTGTGTAACACTATCATTTTCGGGCGATATTTTAAGAAGATTTTGAGCTTATACAATGTAATTTTATACCAAAACTCCCTAGGATCTCTCTCACCCCTCTCAAAGTGCCCCGCCCCGTTTGTTTTATTAGTATTTATAGTATTACCTGTCGCTATTTTTAGCACAGGGGCATGCGGAGAGTTATTGCGTATTTATAAAACAGGTTCTCGGCGGACTTTATGTTCTTATTACATCTATTAGAACTGTTTAATAAACAGGTTGGGCACAGCCTACCAAATGGTACTTTATCCCCTGTTTGGTAGATAATCTACCATATCGGTAACGAATTTTACTAACCAAATGGGGGACAAAATTGGTTGTGTTTAATTCCATAGAGTGGAGTGGAATTTCGCATAATTTTAAACCATGTGGAATAAAATATAGATATTTATCGGTATTCTGGGTGAAAAAAATCAAAAATTTTATGTGCAATTTTTTGCGCAGAGTCGTTCAAAAATTTGGCAAAAAACGTAGCTTATGTAAACAAGTGCAATGTTTCTTAGTTTTTTACTTTAAAAGAAAATTCTCTCCTTCTCCAACGATGCTGCACCTGTCAATCATGTCCTTTACTTTCTATTTCGATTATCCGGGCAACCGATCAATTAGTGCAAACCAATCAAAACGATGATCTTTTTTAAACCTGATGAAAAGTCGGATTTATCTATGGAGGCACATTTGTGTTAATTTTCAACTAGGAAATCAGAAGAAAAATAAGTTTTGCCTTTATTTCTTTTTATTTTGAACACAATGGCTTTGTTCTTCATAGAAATAGTAAATGCAGTTGGAGTATGACATAATTATTGTTTTAAAACGATGTACTTGGAACAAAAACAAGAATAATGGCAAAAGTCATTTTGTACATCTTTTATTGAATATTATTTTTCGAATTTATTAAATTCACCAGTAATATGCATATTAAACCCCAAAAGATCGCATGGAATCTGCAACTTCATCCTAAAAGAAAAATAACAACAAATATTACGTACAACTCTGAAAAAAATTAACTTTATAGCAGGAAGTGCCCACCATACCGGTAAGGCATGAGGAGCTCGTGTTTAACAGGATTTTATGGAGATAAACTTTGACGAAGATCCAAAAAGAGATTGAAAGTTAACTCATCAAGAGTTAAATCACTGTATAAAGTTGGATTTTTATCCAACAAGACACAATAAAGATTTTTTTTTGATCGTTTGATCAAGAAGTTCGGCTGTTACAGACAACTACGGGTATTGTTTTTACGAAGTTACGGAGAAATTACACATAGAAATTCGACCGATTTATGTTAATTGTACGAGGAATATGTTCACTAAAATCCCCCATTGCCTGAATAAATGCGCTTTTGTTTTATTTTAATAAAATTGCAATAGAATAAAAAAGTCCCCCATTTGGTTAGTAATATTCGTTACCGATATGGTAGATTATCTACCAAACGGGGGATAAAGTACCATTTGGTAGGCTGTGCCCAACCTGATAAAGGCTAAATAAATCAAACACCATGGACTGTGTGAAATTTTGACAATACCGAACATGAATATATACATGTATGTGACTTAACTTCTGCATATAACTGCCGAATTTTAAAGCGATTCCGTGGTCTAGTGGTATGTCTTCCGCTTCTCAAGTGAGAGGTACCGGGATCGAATCTCGGACGATCCCTCCTTTTTTTTTTTTTTAAACTTTTTTTTAATGATAGTATTCAGCATGTGAAAAGAATAATTTATGAGGTTATAAAATCATCATTACAGTGTGAAATAAAATCATCATTACAGTGTGATAAATATTCCATATAAAAAGAATCTTCTATACACATAATAAAGAATAAGCAATCTAATCTTTAAACGCATATTGACAAATATTTTATTTGCTTCAGTATACATGTATACATTTAATAATTCTACAAATTCAGTCAGGGGGATCCGACTTTTTCCCTAAGCGGGGGACACGAATTCTCTGAATTAGCTTGTTTCTTCAGAAATCGGCAATATTTTTCATAGATCTATATTGAGATAGGTGACATGAGTAATTTTTGCAAGGCAAAGTGGCAGAATTTTGTAAGATTGTGACTCAATGTTTAAAATGTGTGCAAAATTTTTATATAAAACTGCACAAAAAACGACAAATGGCGCATATCTAAGCAGTAAAGAATGCTTAAGATTTTTTTTTATATCTTACGGATTAATTATTTATGTTATTTCCGTTCAAAAAATATATATCAATCCTTCCATCAAAATTTTATTTGTGTTAAATATCCTAAGTAGGTTAAATATTCACAAGACGGCCAATCGTCGCCCGATCATCGAGCTTTAAGCTACATTTTGATTTTAACCGTCGGCCGAAATTTTGGACACCCCTGTTGTCGAATGAAGGACGACCGACTTAATAAACTGACCGCCGATGGTCGGACGATGATCGAAGGTTGATCGACGGATAACTTCAATTGAAGAAATCGGCCACCGACACAGAAAAAAAAATATAACTTGGACCGATGGACACAAAATTGGTCGGCCGAGAAAAAAAGAGGTCAAAATCGGGC